GATTGTGATAAGAGTTCTATGAGCCCCCAATAAAATGATTTTAAAAAAACCCCAAACTCACTGCCTTTGAGTAGATTCTGACTCACAGTGACTCTAGAATTTTCTGAGTCTAAAATCTTTATGGGAGCATATAGCATCTTTTTTTTTTTCAGAGCAGTTGGTGAGTTTGAACCACTAACCTTAAAGTTAGCAGTCTAATGCTTATCCAACAGTGCAGCTAAAGGAATAGTTCCAAATTGTGGTGTTCTTTTGATTTGCCACATAATTTCTCTTATGACAGGATCCATGGTGTTGGTGTGAGTTAGAGATTGAGTTGCTAACCACATGGTCAGCATTATGAAACCCCTAGCCCAGTGGTTTTCAACCTTCCTAATGCTGTAACCCTTTAATACGGTTTCTCATGTTGTGGTGACCCCCAATCATAAAATTATTTTTGTTTCTATTTCATAACTGTAATTTTGCTACTGTTATAAATTGTCATGTAAAGATCTGATTTGCAGGATGTATTTTCATTGTTACAAATTGAACATAATTAAAGCATAGTGATTAATCACAAAAACAATATGTAATTATATATTGTGAAGTATTTATTTCTAATGACAAATAAATGAAATTTTATCTTGCATGATGTAGCCTGGGTCACAGTCTTCACACCGGGTACTTGTCTGTGGGCGTATCTGTATGTGAGCAGACCCACCTGGAGACGATAGAGGAGTGCGCTGTGTCTCCGTTCCTAAGACCATCGGAAATATGTGTCTTCCTATGGTCTTCGGCAACCCCTGTGAAAGAAGTTCAATCCCCCACAAGGGTCGTAACCCACAGGTTAAGATCCGCTGCCCTAGCCACTCCGCAGGAGAAAGAGAAGGCTTTCTGCTCTCATAGAGATTTAACCACAGGGGCAGCCTAAAACTATTTGTACAATGAGTAAGAATTTATTTGGTAACAGTGAGTTTGTTTTTTGTTGTTGATGTTGTTTGGTTTCTCTTATGGTATAAGCTTTGACATTCTTGACTAATTATGATCATATTCAAGGCTGTTAGTTTTTCATTATTTATTCACATTTATAAGTGGAGGTATAGGTTGTTTTAATACAGTAGTTGATTGATGGTGTTTGTTGGGTGCTGTGAGTCTGTCCTGGCTCATAGTAACACTCGGTACATCATAATAAAACACCGTCTGGGCATGTGCATCCTCACACTTGTTGGTATGATTGAGCCCATTGATTTACATATACTACGTCAATCAGTTAAGAGTCTTCCTCTTGTTTGTTGCTTCCTCTATTTTCCAAGTCTATCCTGTTCTAGGGACCAGTCTTTGGACCCCTGGTAGCATAATGGGTAGCTAGCCACAAGGTCAGCAGTTCAGAACGACCAGCCATTCTGCAGGAGAAAGACGAAACTTTCTACTTCATAAAGATTAACAATCTGGAAAACCCATCACCTTTGTCCTGTAGGGTTAGAATCCACTCAGTGGCAGTGAGGGGTGGTTTTTGGTTTATATACTCGAGTATATAAACCCGAGTCAACCCGAATATCAACCGAGGCACCTAATTTTACCACAAAAACTGCATTTTAAATGTGCGGAAAAACTCGGCATATACACGAGTATGAGATGAAGTCTAGCTATCTTACCTTACAAGGAGCATGCTGGTTATACTTTTTCCAAGACACATTTATTTGTTCTTCTGCGGGTCGTAATACTCTCAATATTCTTTGCCAACACCAGAATTCAAATGCATCTATTTTTGGTAGTCTTCTTTATTCATTGTCTAACTTTCACTTGCATATGAGGTGATTGAAAATACCAAGCAGTGATCTAGGCTCACTTGAGTGCTCAAAGCAACATCCTTGCTATTAAATACTTTATTATTTATTTATTTTTTTGCTGTTAAATACTTTAAAGAGTTTTTGTGCAGCACATTTGCTCAGTGCAGTACATAGTTGAAATAGGCAAAATTCATAATGTCCTTTGTCAGTTTCTCTCTTTGGTACCTCATACCGTTCATTATATATATCATGCCTGATGGGGGAATCCACAAACTTTGTTTAGATCTTTACCACCATAACTATCTTTTTTGCATTTTCCCAAGTTGTAGCTTATTTTCAACCATTTCTATCTCATATTTAGGGGTCAAATAACAATCTAAGAAACTTAAGTCTTAGATGAATGCTATGTCTATATATGTCAAAACCTAAATGTGCAGAAAAATTAGCGTAAGAGAACAAACATTCATTATGAGTATGCCATTCCAATTGGGCACACACCCCCCAACCCACCCCAAGGTATGGGAAGGCAGTCCAAAGAAGGGACAGTGCGAAGGGCTCTAGGTAAAGTAGTTTCCAGAGGGTCATTATAAAGTCCTTTTGTGTTGCTTTCTCAGGCATGGGGGTCAGTCAACTGTAAAAACATTCATTAAATACTTGCCATATATATTCTAAAGTACAGCTTCCAATTCAACACTAGAGTACTTGTTTCTCAACTGGCTGCACACAGATGTTCTAAAGAGCCCAGTGCCTAAAGCCAAACTATCTACACTGAGCAGCTTACTATGTATGCTGTTATTTGACTTTGGGAAAACCGGTTCTTAAAGGCTCAAGCTTCAAAAGGAATTGGCTCAACTGGGTCAATCCAGCTCCACCTAGGAATGTGGGTTCCCTGAGGAACTTGGAAATCTGGGTTCCAGAGGAATTAAAAAACAATTTTTGGGGGGGTCATATCTGGTGAGGTTTGTTCTAAATATAGCACTTTCAACTTGCCTTCACTATTTGTAGTGCTTCAATCATACAGTATACCTCAGCTTTTTACATTTTTATAATTCTGTATAAATTTAATAAAGATGCGTGGGGTCATTAAAAGTCCTAGTCTTATACCAATTTTTCTGTACAAATTCAAAGTACATAGATTTCGTCTAAAAATAAATCATGCCAACCAACCTTTCTACATATTTGTAATTTCCTTCCAAGTCAAAGCTCCCTGCCATCAAGTAGATTCAGATTTATAGCAACCCTATGGGAACTGCTGCTTTGGGTTTCTGAGGCTGTAAGTTTACAGGCAGCCAGTTTCACCTTTCTCCTTCAGAGCAGCTAGTGGGTTTGAACTACTGATCCTGCTGTTGGCTGCCACTTGGTGTGCCACCAGGGCCCCTTCCAGGTCAGTCCAGAGTTGCTTGTTTAGACATCCTTTTGTGTAGAGAACAGAAAATGGGCAGCCGAAGTGCCAGAGGGGAAACTTTGGAAGTTTATGAGAGATGACAATGCAATGGAGTAAAAAAGTGCCCAGTTGAAAAAAAACAATTGAAGATTAAAAGCTTCAGAGATGTGGGCGAGCAGGGATTGTAATCTATTTTGGGGAGTGTTCACAGCATGCTGCTCCTTACTCTGATGACCTTTGTACTGTCTCTAACCACTCACTGGATTTGGTTAAAGATTGGATCTTTTTTAAAAAAATTTAATCCAATGAAGGTTGCCAGGAAAAAATGTAATCATAGTGGTGACTTAAGTTCCTTAGAGAAGAATATCTTACCAGTGAGTGCTAAGTAAAGATAAAGGTTTTGTTTTGTTTTGTTTTAATAGAAATTGATGACCAGAGGGATGAAGTAACTTGGATGAAGGTTCTAAGTCTTGCTGCCAGGACTTGGCCTACAGCTACTGGTTGCTGGTGAGATGTTCTCTACAAGGCCCATTGACTCTACCAAAACTAGCATATTTGGGCCTGTCAATGGCAGTACTTACAGAAGCCCTGGTGGTGCTATGGGTTAAGCAACGTGGGGGCTACTAACAGAAAAGTGGGTGACTTGAACACGTTAGCTGTCCCATGAGAGAAAGATGAGGGAGGACTCTGCTTCCATGAAGATTTACAGCCTGGAAACCCTAAGGAGCAGTTCTACTCTGCCCTACCAGGGAGCTACGTGAATAGGGATCCATCCAGTGGCCATGAGTTTGGGTTAAAGACAGTGCTTTTTCCCTTTGCAGCATTCTGTAGTACTGTCTCATCGCTTTCCCTGGATGATTGCTCTTTGCTTGCTTCTGAATCCAGTGATTTCATTTCCATGGTTCTAAGCCCTGATCCCGTTCCTTCTTTTTTGTGTGTCTACAACAACTAAAAGCCAACTGCATTAACACTTTTTTTGCCTTGTTAACATTGCACGTATATGACATGAGGCTTCCCAGCAGATCCTTTTGAGGATGTCACTGGTAGGGGGGTTTCATGCTAGTTTTGTTTTCCTGTTAAACCCTCCCCCCTTTTCCTTTATTTTGGCCCCTCCTCTCCCGTCCCTGACCTCCGGGTAGTCATCCAAGTCTTTTGGCATCTAAACTACATTTCTTTATATTTGTCTATGCTTACAACAATAGTGATATTAAATATTTGTCTTTGTAAAAATTGACTGTTTGCTAAACATATGTTCTCTAGATTTGTCCATATCTTCTGGGGTTTAAGAGAGGTATTGTATTTTATTGATGTATAAAATTTCATAGTATGAATGTGCCAGAGCTTGTTTATCTATTCCTCTATAGTTGGGGTTTTTGGTTGTTTCCATCTTTTTCTCTTGTAGAAATTGCTCCTATAAACATTGGTATGCATATGTCAGTTCATAATACATTCTTATTTTCTTTGGTGTGTATACCCAGGAGAGAGATTGCTAAATTATAAGGTACTTGGATTTGCATTTAAGGAGGTGCCATAGTGATTTCCATGATTGTGCAATTCTCCAGTTGTCCCAGCAATATAAAAGCTTTCCTATCTCTCTACGTCCTCTCCAGCATTTGTTCGTTTCTGTTGTATTGAGTTTTACAAAAAATGTCGGTGTCAGGTGATACCTCATTGTTTTAATTTGTATTTTTCTTAATGCTAATGATTGTGAACATTTCTTCACAATGGTTGTTGGCTGCTGTAAGTCATCTTTGGTAATTCTCTATGTTTTGTGTTGGTTTTTTATTGTATTCGTATTTTTCTTGTTAAGATACAGTTTTCTATAGATTTTGGAGATTGACCCTTCATGACGTATTATTACTGAATATTTTTTCCCAACCTGTGGGTTGTCTGTTGACTCTCTTTTCAATGAAATCTTCTGTTGTGCGTAAATGTCTTATTTTGGTAGGTCCCACTATTTGATTGTGTCTTCTTTAGTACTGATATTTTTCATTAGGTTCTGTAGTGTGTTTATGCCTTGTATTAGTGTCCTTAAGTTTGTCCCTATTTTTTCATGGATGTGATTTATATTTATTTCTTTGATCCATCTTGAGTTTGCTTTTGTAGAGGGTGTGAGGAATGGATCTTGTTTCATTATTTTGCAAGTGAAGATCTAGTTTTTCTAGCATCGTTTATTGAAAATGCTGTCTCTTGCCAACTTAATGTCTTTCAGTTCTTTATAAAAAATTAGGTGTCCATAGGTACTTGGTTGTATTTCTGGGTTTTCATTTCTAATACATTGGACTCCATATCTACCATTGTAACCAGTACCAGGCTGTTACAATTAACCATAGCTGTGTAGAAGTTTTTAAGGTATGAGAATGAAAAGTGTACTGTGCTTTTACTTTTAATAGTATTTTATTTATCTTAGGTTTCTTTCCTTTAAATATAAAGTTGGTAATTGTTCCATTTCTTTGAAAAATTGTGGTATTTGGGTCAGAATTGCATTGGATTTGTAAATAATTTTGATAAGTATTTAAAACAGATTTTCTTAAAATGAAGAATATCAGAAAATAAATAGTATGATAGAAGCAAGTCTGGAGCTAGTATGGTCTCTTTCTAAACTTGTGATACTACCTTTGTTGGTGTTGATGTCTTCCAGATAATGTTATTCACACTACTATAATATATTCAGACATCATTGGAAGCATTGTGATTGAGGACTTAGGAACAAGTCTCGAAGGTATTGTGTTACCTTGACTGGGAAGACATTTACTGAAAATATTATAGTCTTTGGATGAGACCTTGAGTGATAAAATAAGCTGTAATTGGTCTGTCATGAGATAATCATATCCTCTCCCCCTTTTGTTATTTTTATTCCACATAAAATTACGGTGAATAAAATTATATCACAACTGGAAGAAATGAAACAAATTAAAGTATGCATAGTTTTATATGTGTGACACTGTTACGGTTAGGTGCTGTCAGGTAGGTTCTAATTCATAGCTACTTTGTACAACAGAAGAAAAGCGCTGCCCTGTCCAAGTCATCCTCATACTTGCTGTTATTTTTGAGCTCATTGTTAAACCTGCTGTCAGCCCATTTCACTGAGGAACAAGTTGGTCTGCAAGGTCAGTAGTTCGAAACCACTAGCCATTCCTTGGGGGAAAGACAGGCTTTCTACTCCCATATAGAATTAGAGTTGCTGAACCCACAGAGGCAGGTCTACCTGTCGGAATTAAATCAGTTATTCAGTCCATGACAGTGAGTTCGGTTTGGGTTTTCTACTTCCCCAAGCAAGATGTCCTATACTGTTGTTAGAGAAGGGTTTAAACTGCACTGCCCAAGGCAATGCCCAATGTGACTCACATACTCAAAATGTAAGTAGTTGAACTCTGAGAGGTACTCTGAACATAAAACACACTGGATAGCTAAGACTTAGTTTTACTTATTTATTTTTAAGATTAAGTTTTAATAAAAAAAATAAAATAAAATTTAAAAAACTAAGTTTTAAAACAAAACATTGGTCTTTAAAAGGGTATTAGGTGCTTGACACACTGGATGAATGTATGGATTGTGGTAAAAGGTATTAGTTAATGTTAGAGTCATATTTTTATGTATTCAGTTAAAATATAGTGCTAAGTTAATTTTACTATATGAATGTGTCTACTAGAACACTTAGAAATTAAAGATGCAACTTACATGTTTATCAGACAGTGTTGATTTAGAGTGTAAAATGCCCATTAGATCACAGCTTTACTTTCTGACTTGTACAGTATGAAACATAAAGACATGCAATAGATTGAGTAGAGTAGAATTACAGTAAAACGTGCATTCAGGTTACTTTGGCATATTCAAGCTTGCATTTTAAAATGCAAGTATTAGTCTGGACATCTATTTAAAAGTCACTGACCAGTTGCTTCTGGATGATTATTAAGGCATAAAAATATAGAACAGAATTAGGATGATGAGCCAGTAATGGCCATGGTGTTGGCACTGTGCTGAGGTGGCGAGCTGGTTGGGATGGGATTCCTGGGCGGCTGTAGAGGGTGCATCCTTGAAGAGGAGGGGCAGGGAACCCCTGAGCCGTGGGAGCAGCAAAGGAAGGAACTTTCTCAAGCCAGCTTGAATGATTTTCTTAGAGTAGGTGCATCTGAAAAGGTCAGCTCCCAGGTCTTACATTCCTCTGTTTTGATAAATAGCACTCACGTGACGGTTCAAGCATATCAGACCCAAATGTGGTTGACTTTCAAATTATGAATTGACTGAAAATCAACAAGTAACTGGATTCATAAGGCCTCCAATGTTTAAAACTATTTCTTAGATTATTTTGAATAAACGTAGTAAAATGTGAAACATGAACTGCTAGTAACCTTAACTTGACACTTTCAAGCCGGAAGAGTGGCTTGGAGAGGGTCGTGCCTTTGGGATTGGTGACCACACTCCTTCCTCCTCAGAAGTCTTACTTCTCCTCTGAGTACTCAGTTGGAAATTTCTACCGTTTCAAAAGCGTACCTGACTGCCAAATAAGATGTCCAAGATTTTAGCTTTGGTATTTTAAAATATCCTTACTATTTTTTATTTGTCTGTTCCTTAGTGTTTGAGTTGGGTTGAAAATTGATTGAATTACGTCAAAGTTTTGTCTTGATTTTGTAGGCTTCTTATTCGGCATCAGAAGTTATTCATGAAACATTGGAGAACATGCAAAAATCTGATGATTTTCTATTGTTTATAATTCTGTAACACACATGACATTGTGTGTTGGTGGGGCTTAGCTTTCAAAGTGGAAATGTTCATAGCTTTGAAAGTAGAAATATTCATTGTTCATAGATTTCATAGTCATAAACCATATGACTCATGAGCATAATCAGATGAAGTTAGTAGAAACCAATAGACTGAAGATTGATTATTAATATTAAAAATACAGAAAAATTTAACACCATGATTATAAAGATGAATAATTTGGGGGCACTGGAGAGTAATATGGGAGTTGTTAGGTTCTTTTGAATCAATTCTGACCCATAGCAACCCTATGTACAGCAGAATAAAACACCAACTTGTCTTTGGGCCATCCTCGTTGGCAGCGTCAGTCCATCTCACCTAGGGCCTTCCTCTTGCTGCTGCCCCTCCGCTTTACCAAGCATGGTGTCCTGTCACTGGTCTCTCCTGATCACGTCCAGGGTACGTGAGATGAAGACTCCATCCTTGTCTCAAAGGAGCATTCTGGCTGTACTTCTGCTAAGACAAATCTGTTTGTTCTTTTGGTTGTCTGGGGTACTTTCAACACTGTAGTTCAAATGTACCTATTTTCCTTTGGTCTCTTACTCAATTTTCACATGTATATTAGGTGATTGAAAATTACCATGGCTTGGGTCAGGAGCACCTTAGTCCTTAAAGTAACATCCTTACTTTATAACACTGTGAAGAGGTCTTGTGCAATCGGTTTACCCAATGTGATGCGTCATTTGATCTCTTAACTGCTGCTTCCATGAGTATTGATTGTGGATCCAAGCAAAATGAAATTCTTGACAACTTCACACTTTTCTCCATTTATCATGATGTTACTTACCTCTTGGTCTAGTTGTGAAGATTTTGGTCTTCTTTACAATGAGTTGTAACTCATACTGAAGACTATAATCCTGATGCCTCATTCTTCTTCATATACTGTATAAACTCGAGTATAAGCTGACCCGAATATCAGCCGAGGCACCTAATTTTACCCAAAAAACTGCATTTAAAATGTGCTGAAAAACTCGGCTTATATACGAGTGTATACGGTAATTAGCTTCTTTGATTATTTGCTCCGCATACAGATTTGATAAAGTATAGTGAGAAGATATAACCCTGACACACGCATTTCCTAATTTTAAACCATGTATTACGTATTTACTTGTTCTGTTCACACAACTGCCTGTTGATCCATGTACAAGTTCCTCATGAGCACAGTGAAGTGTTCTGATTTGTTTTAGCTGCTGATATTGAGCTTCTCCGTGGTCTCTTAGGCTGGCCAATAGTGATTAATAGCTACCCCCTGTGGATTTCCAAGACTTTTTATGGGAGTAGAAAGGCCACTTTTTTATAGTTTAATGCATTTTAATAGCAAACTTAGAGGAACAGCACAGAAGACAGACATTAAAAACGTACTTGCGCATGTAGGGCAACTGAGTTAGAAAAGTATAGTGAATGGATGGAATCTACTGTATGATAAAAATGCTACAAACACCATTTAGTTGCTGTCAATAAGAAATTTACTTGTTTTTAAAAAAATCCAAATGCTGGCATTGTCCAGAAAAATTTAACAGGTTTATTTATAATTGTTATAAAGTTGAACTGTTGAAACCTGTTCACTGAAACATCTTGACTAGCATTAATGCTTTATGTCCCCACATTATATTAAAAATTCACACACAAATGGAAATGAAAAACTGCCAATACCTGATTTCTGTCCCCTATTTTTTCCATTCGCAATCATATGCTTAGGTACCCTTTGACCCCATGGGAAAAACAAATACGAAAAACCTAACGTTCAGAACTACCAGTAACAGGAAGAGAATTTTTTTTTTAAAGAATGAAATGTTTCCCATCATAGTGGATTCTTAAGCATGCTCTCCACATATGCGACGTGCTAGCTGGCTGTCTTTTGGCATAATTGTTACACGTTCGGCATGGATAGCACACAGGTTGGTGTCTTCAAAAAGGCCAACCAGATAGGCCTCACTCCCTCCTGCAAAGCACCAATAGCTGCACTCTGGAAGCGGAGATTGGTTTTGAAGTCCTGAGCAATTTCTCTCACCAGACGCTGGAAGGGGAGTCTGCGAATCAGTTCAGTGGACTTCTGATGGCGTCTGATTTCACGAAGTGCCACAGTACCAGGACTGTAACGATGAGGCTTCTTCACCCCTCCAGTAGAGGGCGCACTCTTGCGAGCGGCTTTTGTAGCCAGCTGCTTCCTGGGTGCTTTACCACCGGTTGACTTGCGGGCAGTCTGCTTGGTAGGAGCCATGGTAGCGACTCCGCCTCACTTACCCCCCTTCTCCTTCAGCTGGAGCTCAGCAAGCGAGAGGCGGCGCTGGCATTAGAGAGCAACAAAGGCGCGGCAGCGGCTGCGAACACAATTCGCCACTTTTTTTAAGTTGCTGGTAGTTTCAAACTGCCAACCATGTGTGGATTGTTACCATTGTAATGGCTAAAATACTGGTTGCTAGCACATACTAGTTGATAGGTTGATGGTCAGTTATTGTGGCATATTTTATATCACTCACTGCGATCGGGTAGATTCTGACTCATAGTGACCCATAGGAAAGGGTAGAAGTGCCCCTGTGGGTTTCCAAAACTGTAACTCTTTATAAGTAGGAAACCTCGTATTTCTCCCATGGAGCAGCTAGTGGTTTCAAACTGCTAACCTTGTGATTGAAGCCTAATACATAACCACTAGGCCACCAGAGCTTCTTAAGTAGGTTTTAAATTTTTATGTTATTATGACAATACACATATATACAAAAAGCGTGTATGCAGAGGGGCTTCAAAAAATGGACTTACAGGACATTGGAATTTTTCCACACACTTTGAATCTGCGGTATGTATATTTTATATAACAAAATGCTTATATATTTTGTGTTGATAAAGTTTTTATATGCTTGAGGGTAACTATTGGCTTACATCCCTTTTTTTTTTTTTTCTTTCCTTTTAGAATATGGTCTCTAGTTTTAGGGTTTCTGAACTACAAGTGTTGCTGGGCTTCGCTGGACGGAATAAAAGTGGACGCAAGCATGACCTCCTGATGAGGGCACTGCATTTACTGAAGAGCGGCTGCAGCCCTGCGGTTCAGATTAAAATCAGAGAATTGTACAGACGCCGCTACCCACGGACACTTGAAGGACTTTCTGATTTATCCACAATTAAACCATCCGTTTTCAATTTGGATGGTAGCTCCTCACCTGTAGAACCGGACTTGGCGGTGGCTGGGATCCGTTCATTGCCTTCCACTTCAGTTACACCTCACTCCCCATCCTCTCCTGTTGGTTCTGTGCTACTTCAAGAAACCAAGCCTACGTTTGAGATGCAGCAGCCATCTCCCCCTATCCCTCCTGTCCATCCTGATGTGCAGCTAAAAAACCTGCCCTTTTATGACGTTCTTGATGTCCTCATCAAGCCCACAAGTTTAGGTAAGTGTGACCCCCTCCAGTTTCTTCTAGAGAACAGTGTCCATAAAGCAACGAGCCTTCAACTGTTGACTTTATTGTGCTAGTATTATAGCACTTAAGACTCGACTGCCAAATGTTCAAACATAGAGATTTTGTAAAAGGTTAGCCACAGTGACTGAAGTCAAATCCAAACCTATTCACACCGTTTAAGCTTGCTTTTTCTACCTTAGAACAGTGATTCTCAACCTTTCTAATGCCACGACCCTTTAATCCAGTTCCTCATGTTGTGATGACCCCTGCAGCCATAAAATTATTTTCTTTGCTACTTCATATCTGTCATTTTGCTACTGTTATGAATCAGGTGACCCTTGTGAAAGGGTTGTCGTCGACCCCCAAAGGGGTCGTGGCCCACAGGTTGAGAACCACTGCCTTAGGATTTAAGTGGTGTCTGTGTGAATGGGAGCTACTATTGGTGATGATCTTTCAAATAAAGGACCTACATATGAAGGATTGATGAAAAGAAATAATTTAAAATTGTGGGTGTCTGACACAGGTCCTTGAATCATGTCTTTTTCCTTTCATTTGCTACTGGTCACATAAAAACAATCATGGAATCTGCATCATTGTTTTTCTGATCTGGAGTTGTGAATGCTAGAGAAAATCAACTGCTAAAGCTGCGTGCTGCTTCTCCACGTCTTGTCCTCCTTTCTGCATGACCTATATTACAATGGCAATCGAACTCATACATTGATGCCATACTCAGGGTGCATTTGGCTTGTGTATTCTGTGATATATAATTGGTTTACATAAAAATGGCCAATAAGCTTCAATACAAATTAGATTTTACTAGTACATGCTACTTTTTGATGCTTTATATTCCTTGAGTTCAGTTATGGTACATAGTGATGGAGCAGATCTATTTTCCTGTAGCAACAGCGTGGTTATTCAAGATTATAGTCTGGAATTAAAATTTTGTCAATAACAATAAAGCCAAAATGGTAAGAAAACTAAAGGGTATTGAGAGGATACAGATCGACTCTGACATAAGCTAGTAATGTTAAGGTAGAAGTCCTATAACTTGTGTAAATACATTACATATTGCTGATTATGGAGATGTTGCTGTTTCAAATGTCAAGGCTCATGGTTTATGGGAATTGGGGAGAGGGGGGCATTGACTTCTCTCATCCAGACAGGGACTGTCTTGTGCAGTATTGCAGATGTAGACACCTGCTATTTGGGGCACACTGTGAGAGCATCTTTTTGTAGAGCTGTTTGCATTGATCAAGCTTATCAGAATGAAGAATTGGGTGATTTCGTTTTTTTTTAGCAGTTGATGTATCTTTTACTTCTATAAATCCTACCTTGCAATGATACTGTTTGCTTTAAGCAGTTAGATTTTTAAAGGCAATATTAAAAGAAATAACAGCATGTCATTTTACATTTACCCTTATTTCCTCAGTGGTATTTTTCAATTTATGTTTGGATTTGCTGTTAAGGATTTTTAGCTTAGTTAATTTCCTTTACATTTCATTCATCTCATTTTGTGGTTCCCTAATATCTATGTATCATATACACTTGTGTGTAAGCCGAGTTTTTCAGCACATTTTTAATGCAGTTTTTGTGGTAAAATTAGGTGCCTTGGCTGATATTCGGGTCGACATACTCAAGTATATACGGTATGTGGTTGCTCATAAGATCTTGTTTTATCCGTTTCAGTAGTTGATTTTTATGTAGTTTACTATAGGGTAGTTTTCTTTGCTTTGAGTTTTATGTACAAGCTCCACTCCTTCAGTTATTTGGACTGTTAAGTCATTTTGTCACTGTTTATACAGGCCTTTCTCAAGTTTACCCCCACCCCCACCACCCCACCTTTTGGACTGGCTTACGAGGGGGTATACAAAATCAACCTGAATTTTTTTTCCCCCGAAGCACAAGTGCACTCGGATTTTGTTGGCATTTTCATTCACTGAGGAAATTGACAGATGTGTCCAGAGCGAGGTTTGTTATCAATCGACATTTCACCATTTTTGAAATGAGAAAACCTCTCATACACTTGAGTGTTTCCTATAGCACTGCCCTTGAAAGCTGTGTTCAACGTCACACCAGTTTCTGCAGCATTTTTCCTGAGCAGGAAACAAAATTTCACAGCCACATGCTGTTCTCTTAAATCGGCCACCACAAAAAACCAAGGTTCTTGTGAAACTGTTTTTACAAAAAAATTCTTTGTGACCAGAGAGAACCTTTCCAGGCGATGCCACTGGGTGCACTAACTCAGAGCAGGTTGCTTGATGCTCGCCTATCTGGGAAAATAGGTTCTTTGAAAGCTCCACCTAAGGGAACACACTGCCCCCAGCGTACCCCCTTATTTCCCTCCCTCTGGGGCTCCATTTGTGCTTGTGTTAGACCTTTCCCCATTGTCCTGCAGGTCCTGAAGGCTTTCCCCCCCTTCTTCTTGTGATTGGAGATGTTCTATTGATATTTCATTCTATGCACTTAATCATTCACTATTTAATTTTGTCTAGTGAATTTTCCCCCCGATATTTTGCTTTTTAGTTATAAATTTCCCACTTCAAAAAACCTTTTTTAAATTTCTGTTTCTTTGTAGTTTCCATTTTCCTTCTGACACGGTTCTCATTATGATTGTATTTCTATAATCTTTAAGCACATTTATTGGAATGTTTGTAGTACTTGCTATAAAGTTTTTATTAATACATTATCTGATTTATCTTAAGGTTGTTATTGTCTGATTTTCATTTTTACTCTGAACCATATTTTCTTCTTTGCATGTCTAATTTTTTATTGCATATTAGTTAAATAGGTGATACGTTGTGGGTTTGATTCTCTGCTTCGTAGGAGTGCCACACCATCCTAATTTAGCAGTTCAGTTATTGTTTCTTTCCTTAAACTGTGTAGACCTGGTTTTAGACATTACTAGGGGTTTCTGTGCAAAGTTCAGAGCGTTTTCTAAATTCTTTTAAACTGGGTTGACCTTGGGCTGTGCTTCATAGGGTTTTCAAGGTTGTAATCTCTTGGGAGTAAATCACCAGGTGTTCCTTTTGAGGCAGGAGTTTAAAGCAAGTGCAGTGGCAGCTGACAGCAACAAGGAGGTTTCCTGTGTTCTGCTTAGTATTTTTTTTCTTTTTGCTCAGTATGGAATGTCAATATTCCCCAGCCCTGCTCAACCTTTGGTGCTTTGCTTTTTTCTCACACCTGTAGCAGCTGTACTTTACTGGCTCTTAGGTCATCTTGCCATATACAAGTGCAGTCTCACCCTCGGCCAGGGTCTAGGGTGTAGATCTTAAGCCTGTTTTCTGGTGTGTCCTTTCTTTATTACTCCTTACCCATAGACTCCAGTCACTTCACCTGTCCTGAACTCTGTTCTTTACCTCCCAAGCTCTGTGGATCTGCAGTGGTTGGCATAGACTCTGGCTCATGGTGGTACATTTGGGGAATTGTTGTCAGGTGAAAAGATGGGTGATTTTGGAGCTCCTTTCATTTGGTTTTCCATTTCCCGGGAATTTCAGGTTAGTGCTGCTTATTTAGTCTCCCCACCTGTTCTTGTGTCATTTTGTTTAGTACTGAAGGGGAAGGCCTTCACCACAGTGGATTTAAAGCACAGTGGCTGCATACATGGCTCAAACATGGAATTGTAAGGATAGCGTGGGACCAGGCAGTGTTTCATTTTGTTGTACATAGGGTTCCTACGAGCTGCAGTGACTGAGGCGCCTAACAAGAACATGGTGATTTAGGATTGCTCTCAAGAGAGATACCAAACTCCCTAACCAGTTGTCATTGTGTTGACTCTGACCCCGGGTGACTACTGTGTGGCAGAGTAAAACTCCTTAAGGTTTTCAGGCTGTAGCCTTTTGGAAACATTGCCAGATGTTTTCTGAAACGACTCTGGGTGAGTCAAGAGCTTAGCCATTTGTGCCACCTGGAGATTCCTAGGGTGATACCAGTTCCATGGCAATAGTTGGAAGCGATGTCCACTTTACTCATTTTCCCATATGGTCAGTCATACTCGTCCTACCTTAGAGTGGAAAGGGGAAGCTGCATAGGACAGACAAGGTGGTTGAGCAGTGAATGTGAATTTCAGAAATGGAGAGAATACTATCGTTTTTGTCTTTATACCATGAAGCTTTTCATTTTGAAGACTTCGGTCAGACAGATATGGTACTGTCCTTCACAATTTTTTCCTGGGGAAACAGAATCCACTTTATGACATGATTTCTTAGAGGAGTATACTTATTGCTACAATAGACTTCTTAAAGAGAAGAGTTTTACACACGAACTTTTATCTTTTTACTTGGTAGGATCTGACTTATGGGTCAAAACCCTCTGACATTGGATATTCAAATGGCATTTTCATGCATGTAGGCAAAGCGGGCAGTAACCTGATATTCTTGGTGATGTTGCAGCACTTGCTGGGAGGTAGAAGACTTGATGCCTCCATATTAGCTTTTCGGTTTTATTCTCTTTTGTTTTAATGGTGCTTCTGAGAAGAAAGAACATGCTCAGCTCAATTGAAGGAATACCCCCCCAAAAACAAACAAACAAGCAAACAAAACAAAAGGAAACAAAACAAAAACAACACAATTTAGTTACAACCTTGAAGGATTCTTTGGAAAGCATCCAAAGACGATGGAAGGAATACACAGTCACAGAAAGGAACTGGTTGACATTAGATCATTCCAAGCGGGTAGCTTATGATCAAGAACCAATAGTACTGAAGGAAGAAAGTTCAAGCTGCACTGGCAGCTTCAGTGAAAAGAATTGCTCCAGGAACTGATGGGATACCAATCGGAATGATTTCAGCAAGCTCGTGAAGACCTGATAGCACTTCTCTATGCCAAAAAATTCAGAAGAGCTTCATGGCCAACTGACGAGAAGAGTCATTTGTGCCCATTTCAAAGAAAAGTGACCCAACAGAATGTGGAAATTGATAGCACATGCAAGGTGCATTTTGCTGAAGATCAATCAACATTGGTTTCCCCAGTACATTGACAGGGTGCTGCTAGAAACAAGTCAGATTCAGAAGAGAATGTGGAACAAAGGGGTAACGTTGACGTCAGGTGAACTTGCCTGAGAGCAGAGAATAACCGAAAGATGTTTGCTTGTGTTTTATTGACTCTGCAAAAACATTTGGAAGTGTGGATCCTAACAATGTTACTAGAATTGTGAAGAGTGAGGATTCCAGAACACTTCATTGGGGCTCATGCAGAACCTGTATATGGAACAAGAGACAATTGTTTGAACACAAAAAGAATATATGTGGTTTAAAATCCGGAAAGGTGTGCATGAAGGTTGTAACTATCCTTACACAATTTGTATGCTGGGCAAATAATCCAAGAAGCTGAAGAAGAATGTGGTGTCAGGATTGGAGGAAGGCTCATTAACAATCTGTGGTGTGCAGATTCCAAAATCTTGCTTTCCGAAAAGGAGTATTTGGAGAATTTGCTGATAACGATCAAAGTCTGCAGCCTTCTGCATGGAAAGAAAGCCAAAATCTTTACAACTAGACCAATAGACAACATCATGGTAAATGAAGCGGGGGGAGTGGAGTTGTCAAGGATTTCATTTTGCTTGAATCCACATCAGTGCTCATGGACGCAGCAGTCAAGAAATCAAATGATGGGTCAAAAGACTTCTTTAAAGTGTTGAGAGCCAGGATATCACTTTGAGGACTGACCCAAGGTTAGGCTGACCAAAGCCATATGGTGTTTTCACTTGCTTCATATTGCATGTAACAGTTGGACATTAAATAAGGAAGTCAGAAGAAGAATCAATGCATTCAATTTATGGTCTTGGCAAAGAATATTTAAAATAACTTGGACTGTCAGAAGAACAAACAAATTTGCCTTAGATGAAGTACAGCCAGAATGCTCCTTAGAATGGAGGATAGAGAGATTTTATCTCACGTACTTTGGGCATATTATCAGGAGAGACCGGTCCCTTGGAAAGGACGTTATGCTTGGTCAGTAGAGGGGCAGCGAAAAAGAGGAAGGCCTTCAAGGAGATGGATTGACATGGTGGCTGCTACAGTAGATACAAACACAACAGTTGTCAGGATGGCATAGGACCAGAACGTGCTGTGTTCTGTTCATAGAGTTGAGCCGCTCTGCGTCGGAGCTGGACTGACAGCAGCTAACTAGCATAAATAAAATGTCACTGAAAAGTGTAGCAGGATTCCTCCGTTTCCCTTCTCTGTGGATTGGAGTACATTTCAGTTTTTAATAATACAGATTGATTGCGTAATCTTTTTTAAGGCAAGTGTTCTTTAATATGCAAGTAATTATAAAACTTTATTGAATTAAGTTTAAAATTTTCTCTTTTATGAGAATACTCTATGCATTATATGTTGTAAAACAGCAAAGAAACATTAATATCTATATCTATATATGTATATATCTGATCTTTGGATAGAGTTTGCTTAAGGAGAAGTTTTAACTTTCTCAAATTTCTCAGTAGGTGATACTATAGATGAGGATAAGATGTGATTTTGAAGGATTTTTACTGTGTTTTGATTATAATTAGTACATTCACATAAGAAGTACAGCCTTTTCACATAAGGAATAATAACTGCTTAAAATTAAAACTTCTTTCTTTGGATTCCAACATAGCTTAATATTTTTTAATTTTGGAATTTAGATATTAAAAGTTTCAGAATCTGGCTGTTCATCAGAAGTGCCTGGAGTTTTTATTGAACTTTTATCTTTTTCCCCCCCTCTCAGTTCAAAGCAGTATTCAGCGATTTCAAGAAAAGTTTTTTATTTTTGCTCTGACACCTCAACAAGTTAGAGAGATATGCATTTCCAGGTAAGAGTAATGTTTGGAATTTATTTCTCCATGAATGTGGATTGTTACTTTTTAAAGTAAGCTTAGTGTACTTGGGCTAATATTAGTTAGCCAAATATTTAATACATGATATATATTAGGAAAAATGTTTACCCTTTAAATACAAACAGCATATTTAAAAAAATTTTGTCACACATGGTATTGTTTTTTTTTTTTAGAGTGGAGATTGTATTCCAAATATAGTAGTAGTAATAAAAATTTGGTGAAGTTGCACAGTTAGGTGACCATAAACTTTATTGTCCAGTTGGTGCATACTTGAGAGTAAGAATACATATTATTAACAGTGATGCTGGGGATGAGGAATAAACTGAGGCTGTTGTTGAGGGAAGTTGAGTTTAGTCACCCCACCAAACAAGCAAACCATTATAAACCTGAACGCCATTCTGGAAACTACTATTAGCCTTACATAAGAATGGCACAGACAATCCAATTCCCCTATCAGCCTAAGGCCAAGTCCTGAGAGGCAGAGGTCACACATGCCTCTGTTTTCCAACCTTCTTTACCAATTCTTGTTTTTTTTTCTTTATCAATTCTTATCCCACCTATCCTTCCCGCAACCTTCTCTACTTCTCTGCTAGGTTCAGTGACTCAGTGTGATGGCCACACGGATCACAGAGACAATACTCAGAATTACGAGACTTATTAGGGAAATTAAAAAGGTGCGGTTTAGGGTCAGAAATGCTCAGAATACAGTTCGGCAGTTAGGAGTGCTGCTTTTCAGCTGTCCCCACAGGTAGGCTTCCTTTGGGTGTTAAGCCGTAAGCCTCTCAGTCACACAGCTCTTTGGCCTCTGCCCTGCTCAGGCAAACTCCCTGCTTCACCCTGCTCTGCAAATCAGTCTCCTGCTCTGTCTCTTGCTCTTGATTCTGCTGCTGCTGCTTCGATGGTCACAGCTCTTCAGCAGGCAGGCATCTGTTTTGAATTTTAGGTTTATTTGTAAAATTTGTTGTATAAATAGTTCTTAACCCAACTTCTTTTAATATTACCTTCCTATGTAACTATTTATAGTGATCAAAACCAAGAAATTAACATTGGTACAATATTAGAAATTGTAATCTTTACCCGTTTTTGTGTTAATCTCCTGTTTCATGAATCAGTCTGGTATTCCCAAACCATATTTAATTAAATTTGTTTTAAATGGTGCATTAGTTGAAGAAATCGTCAGTTTATGTTCAGTAAATCATACATATTTTGTTTCATTTCATTGATTGTAATCCGTTCAGCGCATTGTCACTTGTTCCACTTCTCCCTGTATTTCATGTTTCTATTCCGCCTTTTCTAACCTTCTGAACTTTTATCTTTGGCCAAATGCTGCCTCTTTGATCTTAAACGATTGATTATTCTAGCACAGAGATGAGTTCCGTTCAGACCTGAAAATTGACTAAGGACCATAGTCTTGGGAATTTGACCTGTAACTATTTGACAAGCAAACTTAATCTTTTTTATGATTTGAGTTTGTTTCACAATCCCACCCCCAACACACGTACTCTTTCTCTTTCTCCGAAGACCTTTTGATGTGATCCTCTTTAGAGCAGTTAGTGGTGGTGGCCAGATACATGTGGTAGGTCGTCTAAGTCGTCCACGGTGACAGCTCCTCAGTCTTGTCTTTTCATGACTTAAAACAGTTTTTGTAGGATGCCGGTAAGTTATTTTGTACCATGTTCCTCAATTTGGGGTGGTCTGATGTTTTCTTAGAATCTACGCATTTTGGCAAGAATACGATAGACATTTTATGCGCCTTTCAGAATACAGCATCGGGCCACGTGATGTAAATATTTTTTAATGTGATACCTGCTAGATTTCTCCTATAAAGGAGAAACACATTTTGTTTCATTAGTAAGTATTTTGGGGGAGATACTTAAGAAACTAGGCAGCAATTCTGTTTCTCTGCAAACTTTCACCTAATTAAATATAGATCCTTGAATCTTATCTGTACCAGTTATTACTTTATGGTGAGACTGCGCAAGTCAAGATTCACAAAATCTTGGCAGCCCTTTATATAGAGCAGCAGTTCTCCACCTGTGGGTTGCGACCCCTGTGGGGGGTTGTCCAACGACCATTTCACAGGGGTCGCCCGATTCATAATAGTAGCAAAATGACAGTGACGTAGCAACTAAAGTGATTTCATGGTTGGGGTCACCACCACATGAGCTGTGTGAAATGACCGCAGCACTAGGAAGGTGGAGAACTGCTGGTATGAGGGTCTCTTTAAGTCAGAATCGACCCAGTGAGAGTGGGCTTATTTATTGTTTGTGTGCCCCAGTGGTGCATCTCTCTTCAATTCTTTCTCAGGTTTGTAAATTGAAGTTACTCTCTTTGTAAGTAGGAGCTCGCCCATCTATTCAGTTCCTTGTTTGTACGAGTGTGTCCTTATGGATACCTATGGACCGTAATCCAGCACCATAGGACTTTATTTTATTGCTCCCAGTGTTCAAACTTTGGCCAATGGGAGCCTTGTCAATGGTGTCTCCTTTTAAAAAATTTTTGTTTCTTTAAATCTTAATTTATTTTATTATTGAGAAAACATATACCAATTCAAGAGTTGTAACTGTACAATTCAGCAGCAGGTGGCATTGATTGCATTCTTCAGATTGTACAGCTCTTCTCACCTTTTCTGAAATGCCCCTCCCTCCTTGGCATAAGCTCACGGACCCCTTCCCCCAAAGGTTCCTATCAAATATTTCAACTTGCTGTTGTCAGTTTGATCTCTCATAGATAGTTCTCGTTAGAGCTTACTGCCCAACGCCAGCCGTTTTTACTGATTAAGTTAAAAAAAACAACCTATGGTTCTATTTTAAGAAGACTTCAGGGGGTATTTTAGATTTAAGGTTGAAAGGTTATCTCAGGGCAATTGTTTCAGGGTTTCATCCACCTTCCATGACTTCAGAAAATCTATGGAGTCAATGGGAATTGGAAATTGTTCTGCATTTCCCCACTTTAGAAAGAGTTGTTCTTTAATCAGAATGTTCAGTGACACCAGCCAGCACTACCCATTTCTTCTGGTCTCATGGCAGATAAGGAAGTAGTTGTTCACGAAGGCAGCCACACATTCCATATCCTTATTCCACACATCCTGATTCCCAACTACTCTCTCTTGTTTCCTAGCTAAGTTAGAGACCAATTGTTTGGCCTTGCATAACTACTTGAAAGCTTTAAGATCCCAGGAGCTATTTATCATGCTAGGTTGTAGAATAGAAGCACTAAACACATTTTTAGGCCAGTTAAATGGGATGTCCCATGAAACTGATTCTAAATATAATATCATGAAAGTTAAGTAAAGGGGTGTTATCATTCCAGTGTTATGATTCAGGCTTGTACTTGTGGGAGGTGAATGTTCATCTTTCAAGGAATAACAACAGGAATGTGCGTTGTGGTGAGAATGTTGCTGCACATTCTCACTGCATTTTCTTAATCCAATTTCTTTCTCTTTGCAAAAGAGATTTTTTGCCAGGTGGAAGGAGGGATTACACAGTCCAGGTTCAGCTGCGGTAAGTGAAGTTTTCCATTACTTAATTTTACATGTGTGGATTTTCCTGCATTTCAAAATGGGCAAGCATGTTTGTGTACACTGTTTTGTTTTCATTTTTAATGCAGACTTTGCCTGGCAGAGACGAGTTGTCCTCAAGAAGATAACTATCCCAATAGCCTGTGTATCAAAGTCAACGGGAAGCTGTTTCCTTTGCCTGTAAGTGGCTTTCTATTCACCAGGCTTACATGTAGCTTTAATGTAAACACGTGTGGGGCTTGGAGGCTATGACAATTCAGGGCCAAGGAATAGTCCAAGTATCTGAAGTTAATAATGTTTCCCACTTCTTGGATAAATGGCTGGTTCGAGGTCTGAAGCAGATGTGAAAGATGAGTGTGGAACATTTTTTGCCAGCTAGCAAGGAGGTCTTGGGACCCTGTCACATGGCACAGTAACAAGGCAAGGCTGGAGAACGCACGTGTCAGGCAGCATGTTGTGGTGGCGCCTGGGTTGCCTGGCCCTGAGCTGCGAATGAGATGGTGAAAAGCAGAGGCTGCTGAGAGACTGGAAACAGATCAAGGATTGTAACTTGGGCCTTAATGAGACACACACTTCCAAGATGTATCATTAGGATCAGTAGTAGTGGGGGTTGGGGTTACAGTGGTGTCTGATGGACAACACATTGTTTAAGCAGTGAAAGCTGAGGTAGATGCAGTGTGGATGAACACAATCTGTTCCTGACTCGATAGGTAGCTCTGGACTCTAGATCCTTTGGGTCATACCTTAAAATAACCTTTATTATTGACCTTAACTATGTATTTGGTCTCCACAGGAACTTGGAATAAATCACAAGGTATTGGCATAGCTGCATAGAAAGGTTGGGAAGCCATTGTTTCAACAGTAGTGGCATATGACTTGCCTGTCGAGACTAGGTGGTGGAGAGGTGTATGTGTTGAAATTGAAGCTGGAGGAGAAGGGGAGACCCCATTGGTTTGCTAAGTTGCTCTGTCAGCTAAACAGACACAGCACTGTGACTCGAGAGAGAGGGGAAAACTATTCAACATCCTGCTGAGCAAGAGGCATCCTCTGGAGAGAGTACATAAACAACACAACCTCGGACACTGCACACTATTGGCCCTAAAGGAAGCCGGCCCCGGGCCAGGTTCTGGCATTTCTGTATTGTTTCTCTCATACACCGCCTGTAGACAGACCGAGAGCTGAAATACTTGTTTTGTGACTTTTTCTGGGGCTTGAACAACTCTGCCCCCCTGACTGAAATCAACCAACCTAGGGAATTTGCGAGACTGAGCAGACAGTCAGACAGTTGTCGAGCAGACAGTCAGACAGTTGTCGGGGAGGAATGCTCCCAGGACCCTGTCCATGTTCAAAATTCAGGTGGGACATTTGCCTCTTAGGCCACCAACAACAAGGTGCTCAGGAGCTGGGTTGTTTTTTTAATCCACTTGGGTTGCATGGAAGAGAAGAAGCATTCCCACTTAGAGCAGAAGGGTACCAGTGATGCCTGTGGTGGCAAAAGAAGCCTGGAAAGTCATGGGCTCTATAAAATGGCTCTGTGGATGCTTGTCTGTGTGCTGTATACGTGGCCTTTTCGTGTGTAGTCGTTGCCCCGGATGTGATTCGCGTTGCTGCTTACTTAGTACCTACTTCCATCTTTGAAGGGAGATCTTACCGTTGGGGCCTTTTTGCCACTTTAGTCCCCTGAAGATCTGTCCACTGTGAGTATGTGAATATGCTGATGATGAGATCCTACTCTGAATGGGTGAGGTCTGCTCAGCTTCCTGCTGTGGCGACAAACACGGTAGTTACAGATGTGTATAAACATGCTGCACAGAATTTTTGCTTATAAGTGAACCTACACATTTCAAACTCAAGTTCTTCAGGGGTCAACCACAAAATAAAAAACCAGAATTCCTACGTTAACTGAGTATTAGATGGATGATGGATTGAAAATGAATGCTAATGCTTATGCGCCCTTTGTATCTGTGAGGCCTGCATCTGTGATTCAACCAACTGTACATTGAAAACATTCGGTGTGTTTGTGTGGGTGGAATAAATGGTCAAAGGAATCCTTCAAAGGCTAAGAGCGTGTAAAGTGCTGCATGTGCACTGTCTTAGGTATTGTGAACAATCCAGAAATGATTTAGGGTATTCTGGAAGATGTGTTTAGGTTATATGCAAATACTACACAATGTTATTATACGAGACTTGAGCATCCGTGGATGCTTGAGTCTGAGGCCAGGGCTGGGTGAGTGGTCCTGGATCCAATCCCTGCCACCACTGAGGAAACCCTTGAACTGCACCTTGGCTGCGAGACCGGAAGTGCTGGATGGTGCCTGACTACCATGTGAGGACATTTTGATCAGAGATTCCATAGGAGAATCCTAATTGAGGAGGAAAAATGTAGGGTACAGTTTCAATTCACATGGGTTGTAGACTTTCTGAAGCAATGATGAGTAGATGAATCCTTAACACCTTTCCCTAAATAACCTTTAAGTATCCCCCAAAGGGGAGACAGTGGGAGTACAAGATTTAAAGGCAGCACAGGTAAATACTGTTAAGAAAGGATTACAATGGATGAGTTGAAACATTATGTGTATGAACTGTTGAATGTAAAACTGATGTTTTCTAAATTTTTGCCCAGTTCACAATAGTTATTTTTTTAAAATAGCTCCTGAAGTCTTCTTAAAGTCAAACAATAGTTAACTGGTTTAAAAGATTTGTCTTGAGCTTTTATGCCATTTTAAGAACTATACTGTCTCCATGGTATCAAATTGATAACAAGACAACAGCACTTAAGAAGATCAGAGAGGGGAGCCTCAGAGGTGCTGAGTCTATGTTAATGAGGGAGCAGCAACTCACAAAGGGCATGAGAATGGCCAGACTCGGTGTAACCAAACTGTACATGTAGAACCTGCTCAATTAGTGTGCTGTGCACCTCGAGAGGAAGCCAGAACTTTCTTCTTCAGTAAACAGTCCCCGTCTCAATTCGGGGCAGTGCCATGGGGTCACTGTTGAGTCGGCATCAACTCAGTGTCAGTGAGTTTGGGTTTTTTGTTTTGTTTTGCTGTGTATATTCCTAACAACACAATAAAACAGTTAGAAAAAAGTATAATAAATCATATGCAATATTATTATAGCTAGCAAACTAATTTTACTCAGAATATTTGTTATTCTTTTTGTTGTTGTTATTCTTGTATGTTATCTTGACCTGGTTTTAAAGAATATAATTTCTGGGGAAATATATCTATGTGCATCTATTTATAGGTTTAGTAGTAAGGTAGCAGATGGACATTGGGCCTCTACTCAAGTACTCCTTCGATGCAAGAACTCTTTGTTCTGTTAAACTGGCATTCCATGATGCTCACCTTCCTAACAGCTATCGCTGAAGACAATGTGGGTGCATAAGCAAGTGTGGTGAAGAAAGCTGATGGTACCTGGCTAGCAAAAGAATAAAGCCTCTGGGGTGTTAAAGGCTTGACGATAAACAAGCCGCCATCTAGCTGAGAAGCAACAAAGCCCACATGGAAGAAGCACACCCGCCTGTATGATCACGAGTTGTTGATGGGATCAGATATCGCGCATCAAAGAACAAAAAAAATCATATCACTGTGAATGAGGGAGTGCAGAGTGAGGACCCAAAGCCCATCTGTCGGCAACTGGACATTCCCTTACAGAAGGGTCGTGGGGAGGAGACGAACCAGTCATGGTGCAGTGTAGCAACAATGAAACATACAACTTTCCTCTAGTTCTTGAATGCTTCCTCCCCGCCACCCCCACTATCATGATCCCAATTCTATCTTACAAATCCGGCTGGATCAGAGGATGTACACTGTTACAGATAGGACCTGGAAACACAGGGAATCCAGGACAAATAAACACCTCAAGACCAATAATGAGCGTAGCGATACCAGGAGGGGAAGGGGAAGCTGGGGTAGAAAGGGGGAACCGATCACAAGATCTACATATAACCCCCTCCTTGGGGATGGACAACAGAAAAGTGGGTGAAGGGAGACATCAGACAGTGTAAGACATGCCAAAATAATAATAATTTATAAATCATCAAGGGTTCATGAGGGAGGGGTTGGGGAGGGGGAAATCGAGCTGATACCAAGGGCTCAAGTAGAAAGCAAATGTTTTGAGACTGATGATGGCAACAAATGTACATATGTGCTTTACACGGTGTATGTATGTATGGATTGTGATCAGAGTTGTATGAGCCTCCAATAAAATGATTTTAAAAAGAACAAAAAAAGGAATACAATTTCTGTTCTATTCAGAGGGCAGTGGAGAACTCTTTCATCACGTGAGCTTATATAGTAAACTCAAAAGAGTTGTTTTTTGGAATTTGTTATTTTTTTTATTTCCAAAATTCTCCTTTCCTATCTCTACTATTTGAATGCATGTAATTCTAAACTGTGAGATTTTATCCATAAAGAACTGATTTTCTTATAAAAAGGAAAAATATAGTCAATTTGGCATGATGTAAAAGTCTTTGAATTTCCTCTTTGGTCTTTAAGATAAAGTACTATGTGCTTTACAAAAGAAAATAATAATAGCAAGTAAAGGTAACTAAACTAAGGTTCTGTATTTGCCATTGAGAAATGTTTAATTTTCCTACTGAGGAGTTAAAATTATTCTTACGATTACAGGGCTATGCACCACCACCTAAAAATGGGATTGAACAGAAGCGCCCGGGGCGCCCCTTGAACATCACATCTCTTGTTCGGTTATCTTCAGCTGTGCCAAACCAGATTTCCATTTCTTGGGCCTCTGAAATTGGAAAGGTAAAGATTCTCCCTTTGGGGAAGTACGAGGGTGAATTCGCTGGACGTTTGTTTATTTTGCATTTTCTTAGACTACTACCTCTACATCATTCTTGTTTTCTGTTTGCAGTCTCTGAAAACCAACAATTTTCAGTCTAAGGGTACGGGTTTATCTCTAAGATCATTTGAGTGTTCTCTATTTTCCTTGAAAGGGTGTGTGCATGTTTTTGATATATCTTAAAAGGATTCATTGATTGTATCTTGCATCTATGTTTAAGTTATATTTTAAGAACTGGGAATTTTGGGTGATGCTGTTACTTGTAAGACGGGCACTATTTTCAAGAAATGGCTAAAAATTATGTAAAATCTTTGATAGAGGGCTTAATGCAAATGTAAGTGATATTAAACAACAAGTATTAATGCTTTAAAGCTTAGGAGGGCAATTAGAACTGAAGATTCTTATCTTCTTGAAATGACCGACGTACATTGTTAAAAAAAATAAATGACTAGCCATTACAGACCTTATAGTTTTATCTTTTAATAGGAATAATATTCTTCCCTTGTAATTAAAGTGATGACTGACCTATATTTGCATAACACATTGACGACTCACATAGTAAAAGACTGTTCCCTGGGTTGTGCTGTCAGGTAAGTGTTGGACCGCCAACTGCAGTCACGTGTTCTGTGGGAGCCCGACTGAAGGTTTACTTACCCTCAGAAACCAGACACAGGGCTCCTGTGAGTCGGAGCCCACTTCATGGCAGTGAGTTGTTTGCTTTTTATTTGCTGCTTATAAGACATTAAAGGAATGGTAGTTCAAATAAGTTTAAAAATTGTAGAATCAGTCAAATGAATGTGTAGTGAGGTGGTACAACAGATTGGTTTAGTATTTAGGTAAAATTATATCCCATTTACTCACAGCTCTATTAGCCACAAAAAAGCACATCAGTGGATAACATTACGTCCTCGCTTTATCTTTTTGAATTTTGTCATCCATTTTGTGTGTCTTCTGTAGTAGCTGCCCCTTCCTCCTTGAAATGCTATTTGGGGACAGAAAGTAGATTGCTCAAGTTTTGCTTGGAAGCAGCCTGACACTGGGTTCATTTGAGTGAGTAGCCTAAGACCATGTAGCCGGTGGCCTCTTTTATCAGAATTAGTTTTAGAACTCTGTTTGAAGAGTAAACTCAGCCCCAAGCCCATCATGATGTTGGAGTCTGTTTTGACTCTTAGTGATCCCAGAGGATGGAGAACTGCCTCATAGGTTTTTCAGGACCGGACATCTTTATCCCACAGAGTTCCCTGCCTTCTTCAAACCACTCACCTGTCAAGAGCCCGTCACTGAACCATCAGGGCTGCTTGTTTATTCCTACCCCTGATATTTAAACTTAGTTTCATTTTCCAAGTGAAAATATTTTAGAGCTTCATTACATAATAGCCAAAAATTATTCTGGTGGATATACGCATGGATGGCACACTCATTCATACCAGGAGACTGCTAAGGTACTCATTTTGCTAAACTAGAAACAGTTTCGAGCCCCTGGCCCAACGTTTTGTTATTTTTCACATGCATGCTTTATAGTTTTAAGTGTTTGAGAAGTACCTTTAATATAATTGAGCTTTTTTTTAAAGCTGTGTTGATTTTTGCCCCTTTCATCATTGACCTCCTTGTGGAAGTGATTTTGAATGTTATTTTTAGAAACCAGCATCTCTTTGACAACTATTTGATGTAAATTAAAAGACTACTGTTCATCTTTAACATAGATTCTTTTTCTTTGTAGAATTACTCCATGTCTGTTTATCTTGTACGGCAACTCACATCTGCCATGTTATTACAGAGATTGAAAATGAAAGGTATTAGAAACCCTGATCATTCCAGAGCACTAAGTAAGTAATGTTTGTAAGACTGAGCCTATGAGATGCCTTAATGGAGGATGGAAGGGGAGAGAGAGACCCACACCACCACCACCAGTCCCTAAACACTTTGGGAGCAGTTACTGCAAACCTAAAATGATAAAGTGGACTTTCTGTTACGACATGCTTTAAAAATGGAGGACATTAAAAGCCCTTCTAGGACTCCAGAGAGGGCCCTTTTAAATCCCAGCTTGATCTCTTGGCCTTTCTATGAAAGCTCTTGCTTGTTTAGGTAAGCAGCATAGTGGGAGGTTTGTTGCATGTGTTAATTTGAAAAAGGAACTTGAGTCTTCAAAACCTTCAGTGTATAATAGAACATACATGCTTTAGAAATGTTCCAAGAAACTCTTGGAAAAGAAATGTTGATATCCATCTACCATATTGCCTTTTGAGATTGTTAATTTTGGGATTTTGCTTCCATACTTTGTAATAAAAGAGGCAGGAAGAGTCTTTCGTATCACAGATGGTAAATAAGTCAGTTGTTGAATTAAATTGCACAAGAGATATTTCTGGGAGAAGGAATTTTCTCCCAATTATCTCTCCCATACTCCTGAGCTAACGAGTAGAAGAAAAATTTCGTTTAAGTTGAGAAGGGAACTACGGAGGGCTACTGAAATGATAGAGTGTCTCAAAGGCCATGTCTTAGGTTCAAGAACACCCCCCTCTGTGCATCTTCTTGTCTACCGCTGAAAGCCAAGGAAGCTCTTCCTCATTTTTCCTTGCTTTGGTGAAGTTCCCACTGCCTGGAAAAATTAACAAAGCTTCTCCCTACAGTGGTATTGAGAATTGGCTATCTAAAAGCCTCTGTGTCTCTGTATTGACTTGTTCATGCAATAAACTATACATTACTTGTAGAATAAACTACACCATCCTACCACATCCATAATAGTTTCCAATTGCCAAAGGAAGGATAAGAATACAGTGAACCCTCATTTATCACAGTTATCGGTTCTAAACCCTACCGTGATAAATGAAATTCCGTGAAGTAGGATTCCTTATTTGTAAATCAAATATTTTCGTAGTTGGAGCATAGAGGACATGAAAAAACACCCTTTAGTCACCATTACACTCGTATTACCCAATTTATTAAACAAAAAAGGGAAAATACAGTAAAACATTTTGGACGTTACAATTATCATTTATTATTTATTATTTATGGCATCTAGTTTACAGTATTACATATTTCACATACAGCATTATTATACATAGTTCTTACAAATACTGTAATCAATAGCCTATGAAATGACTTAGGGATGTACTCTACAGGTGGGTCGCCGTCTTTTTCCTCTGAAGGAGCGGGTGTAGGCAGTGGGTGCTGTTACACAAAAACCGCGATAGAGTGAAGCCGCGGAAGTCAAAGCACGAAGTGGCGAGGGTTCACTGTATTGTGGTATTTTCTGCTAGCAAATTTAACAATTGTTGCGAATAACACTGCCCAAAAAAAACTAATGAATGCATTTAAAAACCATGAAAGTTCAGGTTCCTGCCTCGTATCCCTAGCCCTGGTTGGTGTCCAGTTCTTAAATTGTATCAGCTTTCCATTTTGAAACTCTTCCTTACTGGTGGTTTTCCATTTTTTAAAAAAAGGAACTGTAAAAGTTATGTTAAACATAGGATTTTTGAATGTTTAAGATTATACTTTTCACCTAATGGAGAAGTATAATTGTGTTTTTAATTCTTCAATATGTAATGTGTTTGGCTGTTTCATTTTGCTTTGTTTGTTTCTTTTAGTTCTTGACCTATTTATTTAAAGTGTTTGAGATATTTTAACCAATGCATTTCTACAGTTCCATTCCTATTTGATTAAACTTTTAATTTTTCTTTTCTTTTCTCCTTTTTAAAGTAAAAGAAAAACTCACTGCTGATCCTGATAGTGAAATTGCTACCACTAGCCTTCGGGTGTCCTTGATGTGCCCTGTAAGTAAAGCAGCCTGCCATCCTGGGGGTGCTGCTTGTTCTAAATTACTTTTCACTGATAGGTTCTGATACAGTGACAAAACAGGAGGACACTAGAAAGGAATTATTTCAAAAGAGGAATAGCAGCTTCAGGTTCAGAAGTAATGTGGCATAGTAATTACTTACTAATAGTATCCACATGTTAAGAGTTGGCTCCTTTTCTCAGAATTTAAATGGTGTTGAAAAATGACAATAAAATTAATAATACTAATGGATATGGTTCTGGTTAATAGTTTTTGTCACTCACAAATTCATTTGTAATGTAATTTCAAGTGGACATTCATCTTTATTTTGAAGCTCCTTACATAGACTTTATATACATAGAGTCCTCCTGTACACTTGGCACTGAGCTAATTGTGGGAAGAGGTACGGAAGACCTGGTTGGAGTGATAGAGCAAACACACCGCGAAAGGCAGATTGTATTTACCAGACACAGTTGTGCTGTTGGGGTTCTAGTCGAGAGGGGAGAGGTCGGAGATTGTGAGTGAAAGCTGTCAGACCCTGCTGGCGGGCACCTTTTCAGATAAGAGGACTTTGCATAAGAAGATTCATGTGGTCCAAGCGAACAGCCACCATTGTGAGAAATGTGGGGTTTTTCAAATGGAGAGACATTGCCTCCGAATCGTTTGGTTCCTGCTGTGCATCTTAACTGTCTTATTAGAAAACCAGGGTGGAGGACTAGTCCCCATTTTGCAGATGAGAAAACTCAGTCTAATAGAAATTAGCCAACGCAAATCTCAGCCAGTTCATTTGCGATCTGGTTCTATTTCAGCTCTCTTTCCAGTATGCCCTGTGGCCAGAATGGGCTTCAATACAATTCTCTTGATTCAGAGTCCACCTCTCAGCTACTCTGGAAACTGGCAACTGCATTATCTTTCTTTCTGAAGTTTTATTTTTTGTCACCCCTTTAAAATAGACACAAAGTCCCCAAAACCACACAATTTATGTTAGCCAACTCAGAATAGAATGCTATGAAATTGGAATTGCTTCCAAGTTGGAAATTTGCGGTTCCATTTCTTATGTCTTCTGTCTGATTTTTATCAGAGCCTTCGTTCTCAAGACTCTGAAGAGGTCCACAGAGTCAAAACTTCTTATAATACTGAGATGTGATTTGTCTTTTATTCTCATTCTCTCAGCAGTATACAGTGATGTTTAACAGGGACTACCTGCCAGGTGATGGTATCATTGCTCTGCTGGCTAATGGAATGTGGTCTTGTGTATTTTTGTGTTTTTAAAATGTCTGTTTTAATTCTAATACAACAGTATTGATTAATATCACCTACATATATAAAAACTTTTGGAAGTTCTCAATTTTTAACAGTGTAAAGGGGTTCTGAAACAAATTTGAGAACCAGTGGCCTGTGAAAATAATAGTAAGCTGAGTTAGAGAAACCTATATCTCTAACTTTATATATAAATTTATAAGGATTACCCGCTTATTACAAACTATAATAAAAAAATGAAAAATTCTGATTGTTAGGGTTTATTCAGAATTAATGCTATTACTAATATTATGATCAGAATCTTGGTAGATTTAACTGTTTTCATAATCATTTATGTTTATTGAAAAGATGCATTATGTTATATGTATATACATATATATACTGTTCTATAGCTTGTATATTTTCCTTTAACAGTATATTTCAAATACATTAGTAGGCGTAGCTCTATCTTATTTTAATCACTGCAGACATTTTGTTGCATGGGTGTGATGTATCTTATTTATTCAACCTTTTTTAGTGATTGTGTTTGAGTTGTTTCCAAACACTGATTCTATCAATAAACAAACTTACACTGATGGAAAATTCCTAAATAAAAAAAATAAATAGAATCAAGAACTGTTTTAAAAGAATACATGATAACAAATAGGACTTTATCATAGAAATAGAATGGTAGTGTGACTTTAGACAATCTTTTAAAATTTTAATTATTGATATTGGAAGGAGACACTTGTGATTACTGCCATTAGGTGTCAAATAACCATTTAGTTCATTTTCATTTCTAATTTCACCAAATTTCATAGTAGACAAGGGCAAGGTGAGTAATTAAAATCAAAAGTTTGCACCATTTGAACTTGTGAGAATTAAGTGCGTCTTCTTCATGAACATGAGCAAAGTGGGTTTGTGTCACAACTCCACGCAGACGGTGTCGCAGTGAATGTGTGGCTTAGCCACTTGTAGCCTCAGGATCTTAATTTCAAAAATAGAAATACAGATACCAGCTCTTCTACACTTTTGGGGTTGTTATATGAAGATGATAAGAAATTTCTAAAGCTCTTAATATCACCATAACACTAAAGGATTCTAGATAATCCAGGGATAACTTATTTATTATTAAAGGAAAATATAGAAGCAAATGTCACAGGTGAGAAACTTCCTGCAGTTGTCTTTTTAAAATTCTAAGCCAGCAGCTAAAATGTGGTATGTAGCTGCATGGGTTACTGTAACTTCAGGATGGCTTTTAGATGTTGGATTGGACACGTGGGTGAGGTGATTCTGCACAGAAGTGAAAACTCTGGGGCAGGGTTCCTGGATTCAAATACTAGTTCTGCCACCACTTTACTTTGGTTGGTCAAGCGCCTGTGTGCCTCAGTGTCCTCATTTGTAACATGGGGATGACATTAAAATCATGTCAACCTGGTAGTATAAGTATTAGTTACTATTAAGATGATGACTGGACTACAGTGTATGTATTTGTTGCTGTTTAATTCTAAGATAGCCAAATGCTCAATGGAGAGTTTACATATAAGCCAAAAGCAGGAAGGCACTGTAGAAAAGTCTGTGTCACAAGACTTCAAACCTCGCAGTACATTTTGAAAGTGCTTTCTCTCCTATCCGGACCCTCCCTCAACCCACCGGTAGAATAATTAACTATTTAGGGTAAAAAAGGCAGCAAGCATCTATCCAAAGACAAAGGACAAAGAGTTAGGAAAGACGGAGAAATAGAAACAGGAAGTAGAAGGAGTTAAGGGATCACAGTGGATGAAACAAAATGTGTACCAATTGTTGAATGTAAAGCTAATAGTCTGCTCTGTAAACATTTCCAACTCATGGTAAAAAGTGTGTTTTTAAGTAGTTTTCCTTTCTCTCTGCCTCTTCTAGTAATTCATTTTGCCCTCTGGCCAAGTTCTGAGCACACACTGTGCTAACTACTGTGCTACAACAGAAAGATCACAGTGGAGAACAGAGAGACATTGTCCTTGTGGAAATTAGGGAGGGTCTAGTGGGAGAAACAAACAACACAAAGGTTGTTCTAAAAAGCTATTTCCTGTAAAGGAAATATATACTAATTCAATTGAGAGGTTAGAGAAACTTCATCTAATCTAATCTGGGTCTGCCTATGTCTTGATTTTGTTTTACCTCTACCAGAATTGGATGGAGCAACACCATGGCTATATAAAAGTTGGAACTCACAGGATCAGCTGTTTGAATCCACCAGCCGCTCTGTGGGAGGAAGGATAGGGCTTTCTACTTCTGTAAAGAGTTACAGTCTCAGAAATTCACGGGGATGTTCTACCCTGCCCTATAGGGTCTCTATGAATCAGAACTATCTCAATGGCACCGAGTTTGGGTTTTTTCCTACCAGTTGGAATAAGAATTGGAAGGAGCAGCTCTAAGGTTATATGGAAGTATTTTGAGAATTTCATACTTGAATATGTAAATCCTTTCCATGAAGAAATGAAAAATATATTGGTAATTCACATCACTCACAAGGGGCTGATTTCTTTAAATTAAAAACACCTATAAATAAAAAATAACTAAATAGAAAAGGTTATGGATAGACAGATGACTCTGGGGTAAACGGAGGCTCGGCTTCACTTATAATAGGAAATGCAGTTCATAAGCAGATTGGCAAAGATCACAGTACTCAGCAAGCCTATGTTGGTAAGGGTGAAGCACACCAAGAACAGGAATAAGTACGCATGTGTAAATCAAGATGCCTTGGTGGTGCTGTGGTTAAAGTGCTCTTCTGCTAGCCCAGAGGTCAGCAGTTCAAATTCAGCAGCTGCTCTGTAAAAGCAGGGTGTAGCAGTCTGCTTCCATAAAGATGTGCAGCCACAGAAAACCTTATGGGGGCAATTCTCAGATTTTTAGAACTTGAGGGTAGTTTGTTGTTGACAGGTTATGTGTAAATTATTATGTGTAACCTCTGGGAGTTTGCCAGTGTAACAAGAATTAGAGTATTTTACCTTTGACCTGAACATTTCACTTCTAGGAATTTTCCTATAGGTATTACGCATCATTGTTTATAGTGATCAAAGATTGGAAACAATTTCAATGTCTGTCACTAGGTACTGGTTAAATAAATTGCTGCCTTTATATAGTGGGAGCTTTACATATATATATCCTGATACAGGTGAAATAGTGAACCGTGATATATGATGGTACAGAATTGTGTATACCATACCACCTTTTATGAGATTTTTTTTAAGTGTGCACTTTACATGCATGAACATTCACGAAAGGACATGCAAGAGATGGATGGGTAACGGGTTCTCTCAGAAAAACAGTGGGGGAGCCAGAGGAGGGAAGAAGACTTAAGTCTCTTGCTGCCTGTTTTGGAAAAGTGAAATCGTATTCTAAAAATCTTAAGACAAACAAAGAAAAAAAGACCAATAAATAGATGTAAAGCAGAGTGATCTTGGTGGGCCTAAATTCTGCTCTGAGTTTCTTTTTCCTGTGCTATTGTGTAATTGTGGGCCTTCTGGGGCTTTGCTCTCCTGTGTGAAATGATATTCCATGTTGTGTTCTCTGTCCTGTAGTTAGGGAAAATGAGGCTGACGATCCCGTGTCGTGCAGTGACTTGTACACATCTGCAGTGTTTTGATGCTGCTCTTTATCTGCAAATGAATGAGAAGAAACCCACCTGGATTTGTCCTGTGTGTGACAAAAAGGCTGCCTATGAGAGTCTCATATTGGATGGGTAAGTATCCTCCTGAATAGCTGGTGGTCATTTCTCTACTCAGTACAGCTTCCTGTCAGTTCTCTGGCCGAAGGTCTGAATGTTCATGTCTTTCCAACTTCATTCTTTGTTGTCCTCAAATTTAATTTTGCTTTATTGTGATAAAATACATGATATAAAATTTGCCATTTTAGCTATTAACAGTTTTATTGGAATGTAATACACCTATGGTACAATTCAGTACTTCAATTATATTAAGAAGAGTTGTACAAACACCACAATTTCAGAACACGTTTTTTACGTGTCCGATTTATTGGCAAAAATTACGTTCAGTGTTGTACCATCATCACTACATTTCCAAACTATTTTGTCATCCCAACAAAAGCTCTATTCATTAAACAGTGGCTCCCCATTTCCCCCTCACCCCAGCCTCTAGTTATTTTAAAACTGTGACTACAGATTCCTTTGTTTTTATCTTTGGTGGAGGGCAGTTGTATTTGCTGTATTTTTCATTTTCAAGAGCATATTTTGTAGGCCATGGAAAAGCGGGGGATGGGGCGTTAAAATTTTAAAAGAAATGGTGAAGAAGAAAGTTGTTGCTAGGGGGGCATTGAGTTTATGTTAATGGTGGTGGAATAAGTTGGAAAAAGGATATCAGTGGTTGTACAACATGAGTAGAATCAGTGCCACTGAACATAGAAGTTGTGGAATTGGAGGATGTTTTGTTGTGCATATTTTTGCCACGATTAGAAAAACTCAAATAAGGTAAACAAGCGGCCATCTAGCTTGGAAGCAACAAAGCCCACATGGAAGAAGCACACCAGCTTGTGTAAACACGAGGTATCGATGGGATGAGGTACCAGGCATCAAAGAACAAAAAATCCTATCATTGTGAATGAGGGGTAGTGTGGGGTGGGGACCCAAAGCCCATCTGTAGGCAACTGGACACCCCCTTACGGAAGGGTCACGGGGAGGAGACGAGCCAGTCAAGGTACAGTGTAGCAACGATGAAACATACAACTTTCCTCTAGTTCCTAAATGCTTCCTCCTCACCCACTATCAAGATCCCAATTCTACCTTACAAATCTGGCTAGACCAGAGGATGTACACTGGTACAGATAGGAACTGGAAACACAGGGAATCCAGGACAGATGATCCCTTCAGGACCAGTGGTATCTACATATAACCTCCTTCATGGGGGATGGATAATAGAAAAGTGGGTGATGGGAGACATCGGACGTTGTAAGGTATGACAAAATAATATTTTATAAATTATTGAGGGTTCATGAGGGAGGGGGGAAATGAGCTGGTGCCAAGGGCTTACATGGAGAGCAAATGTTTTGAGAATGATGAGGGTAACGAATGTACAAATGTGCTTTATACGATTGATGTATGTATGGATTGTGATGAGTTGTATGATCCCCAGTAAAATGATTTAAAACAAAAAAAGAAAATTGCATGAATAACAATGAGCACAAGGAAGAATATAGTCTCGAATTGAATGTGGTGATAATTGTACAATTCTTACTGGTATGCTTGAATTATTGAATTGTATGACATGTGGATGAAATGCTAATAAAACTTTCAAAGGAAAAATAATGGGGTGAGAGGGTAGGTAGTCCATTTATGACCTTTGCTTCCTAAAGTCTAAGCCAAAAAGCAAAGGAAGTGGCAGCAGAGGTGCAGTCGCATTGTGTGGCTGTAAATTCAAGAGTGGAATCGTCTCCAGGTTTTTTCTGACTACTGCTTAAGTATAGTCATATGTATGTCAGAATTTGGGGATCTGAAAAATAATATGCTGTATAGACTCTTGTATAAGCTGAGGTTTGTCAGCACATTTTTTTTTTTTTTACTCAAAATTATGGGGTTTATTGTGTAAGGAACAGGTTACAAATTAGGATCAGGAAAGATTCAGGATAGAATTTTTTAAAATCAGGGCAGCCTCTTTTCAGCCATGCCTACCAGCAGGCCTCTCTCCCTGGCCTTTGGCCCAGTGCACCTCTGGCCTGGTCCAGCCACTGTCACCAGCATCCAGGTTCTTGATTTACCAAGAAAAAGGATTACTTTTGGAAGGCACAGGGCTTTGCAGAAGATTTTTATCTAGACACTCCTAAAGAGGAAGAAATCCTTACCAGCCAGCATAGCCAGCCATGATATCTCTTGCCGCCCATACACCTACTCAGTATTTTAGGAGTTCTTGCACACTTGAGATTCTCAGGAACTTCCTGGGATGGCGAAGTATTCTGGAAAATGTAGTTCCCTGATGTTGTCAGGGACTCTGCACATGCTGTGTCCAACTCTCCAGCTTTGCTCCTATGCTCTGTCTCTGTTACAGAGCTCTTTAGCTGCACCAGTAAATGTCTACTCCACCAGCAGGCCTCCTGCACGAAGGCCCTCAGCTTTCTTGCTCCAAGGCCTGCGGACTGCCCTGTGTCAGCACATTTTTAATGCAGTCTTGGTGGTAAATTAGGTGCCTGGTTGATATTCGGGTGGGCTTATACTTGAGTATATACGGTAACTGAATTTATCAAGTGGGATATCCTTTTTCCCCTCCCAAGTAACACTTGTAAAAGATAGCCTATAGAATGCATGCCCAACCATGAGATATTAAAATTACAATTAATCGAATGATTAAAATCATCAAGCCCATTCGTCAGTAATGACTTTGTTTCCATTAGAGTAAAAATCTTGACATCATGCTCTATATAATGATTCATAACAGACTCTGTTACTTCCAGACATCCCAGTTAGTTCTTAAGAACACTTGTACAAGTTATTTTATTTTGTTTGTTTTTAAGTTTTAAGAAAGCAATGAAGAGTGAATGGAGGTGTCAGTTTTCTTCCTAAAACTGTAGTCTGCTGGGTTTTTACTTTTGTAATCTTTTAAACTATTTTTTTGCAAATATTTAAAACATAGAAGTTGCAGAAGCAGCAGACTTTGAACCAGATGCACCAGTTGGCAACATTTTGAACATTTTTGTTTTTATCAGTCTCTCAGTATTTGGAGGGGTGGGTGCGATGGGGTGATGTACAGAGAGTGAGAGCCACGTACACCCTCCCCCTTTATTTTGAGGGTACTTCATAATCATGCTATTCCATCATGCGGCTGCACCACTCATCATTAGAGCATTTTGTTGGTTCCTACTCTTGTCTATTTTAAGTTGTCCACTGGTATGCTTCTCTATGAGTTAAGTCTTTGTGTATGAGTATGTAGTTTAAGATCTAAGTAGATGTGCCAAGTCGAAAGGAATGTACACTTCTCTGGGGTTTTTTTCCTAGTTGAAAAGATAGTTCATTATTTTGGTTTCTATTTCTATTAGGAGAATGATCTGATTTCTATTTCTTCACATATATTTGTCATTTTATCTGAGAATTGTTCTTGATTTTTCCTGTTTTTCTAATGTGGTAGTTGTCTTTTTCTACTGATTTATAAACAATAATTATACAAATTTATTGTAATAAATGTTTTGTGTGTATATTTTCATTTTCCCCATTCAGAAGCTTTATATTTTGATTTCATCAAATATTGGTCTTTCCCTTTTGTATTTCTGCCCTCAGTGCATTTAGCACGTTCCTGAGATTTTGACATAAGCATTCACTTTATTGGTAATCTCTGGACTATCAGGTGTTAGGTCAAAATGGTGAACACACCACTGCTAGTGTGTGAACCAGTACAAAAATTACAGATTGCATTAAGTGCTCAGAAGGTAAAGAGTGGGGCTATGAGAGATGAGTTTGAGGCTGAGGAGGAAGCATTTAGGTAAGAGAAAGGTGTTAAGGTGGGGATTACTCTTTAACATAACCTGCCAGATGTCTCACCATTCATTGAAGAATCTCACCTGTGGACTAAGATAGTACCAGAATCTTAAGGTAAATTCTCATATGTCTCCATACTAAATTCTAACTGATACTTTGTTCCATTGATCAAAGTATTAGTGAAGCAGTACAAAACTATTTTAATAATTGCATTTATGTTCATATCTCTTGGCCATTCTGGTTCAGATCACACCCCCCACCCCCCGCCCAACCAGTATCACAATTACATTCATGTAGAAGAAAATGTTCTGAAATTACACAAACCAATCCTGATTGAATTTTTGTTGAGTTTTTAGTATCATTGGGAAGGATACACATTTTAAAAATATTACATGTTTTTATGTGGGAGGCATTTTTCCCCTAAATATGCTGTTGAGATATAAATGACTGACAACAGAAGCATTGCACATGTGTAAAGTGTAGTGTGATAAATTTTGATTACTTAGATAACCAACCCTGATGAGTTAGTTACTAGAAGCGTGTACCCCCTTTGTCTAACTGCTTTTGTTTAGTGTAGCTATCTTGCCATTCATCCATGGGCTGTATCCTCTAATAGTTCTTTTCTTTGCTGACACCGCAGAAAACACAGTTTTTGCACCCACTCCCCTTTTAGTGGGTTATTTCTGGTTTGGAGCTATTCCCAGTATTAATTAGTAACTGTTTCTAGTGCTAATAATTTTTATGGCAGGAACTTTGATGGCACAAAGTGCTGAGTGATTCAGTACTCAGCTGGCAACCTATAAAAGGTTGGTGGTTTGAACCCACCAGCAACTCTGCAGGTTAAGCAGCCAGGTAATTTGCTCTTCCACGGATTATCCCCTAGGAAACCCCACAGGGACACTTGGGTTCTGTCCTGTCCATTGCCATGAGTTGGGATCTGCACGACACCAGTCTTTAAGGGAGTAAAGTCCTTGATTTTTCTCTCATAAAGCAGCTGCTGTCTGCCTTTCATTTTGCAACCCGACTGCTTAACCATTGTGTTACCAAGGCTCCTTTTGGTATGCTCACTCTCTTTCATTGTATGCATTTCTCCTGCGCCCATTCCCATGGGTCACACCTTGTGCTGAGATCCACAAGGTCAGCAGTGAAAACCTCCACCAGCTGCTCCTTTTATTATTTGGTAACAGCTATTTGCTCCTAGCCACAGGGCAGCAGTTGAGTTTGAATTACCAGGGTAGCATAGCTAGTGGGGCAGGGTGTCCGTTTTTCCAGGTTACCTTGTGGCATTTTCTGTTATACCACTGTAGGTCTTATTTCGGTGACTAGGAACTTAAATCCTTTTTACAGTTCTAAATCTAAGTATTACTTTTGTAACTTTGTACTGTAGGCACATCGATAGATTAGGGCTGTGTAATAAGACAGGGTTCTCTAGAGAAACAAAACCAGGACACTAATAATTTTGTATATATTTATATAGATAGATAACATAAGAAATAAATGGTTAATTAAATTATAAAGGAGTACAAATGGCTCAGTGCAACTCACTCCCGTGAGACAGTTGTGAGACAGTGGCAATCCTTCAAGTCTTGAGGACCGCCGGGTAGTCCTCTGTAGAGCAATTTAGGCTATACGGGCACAGGCAGATGACAGGGTCCGACAGTCCCCAGTTCAAGAGATGTAAATTCCAATGATGTGGTGAAGCAGGTCTTGAAGGAACCTCAAGTTACAGCGACACAGTTCACAGGTTAGGTGTCCCACAGGTACTGTAGCTTGCAAATTGAGACACAGAACAAGCAAGGCAGCCACACACTGGTCTGATGGTCAAAGAGCAAGAGACAAGAAAGGCGAGGCTCACCGAGCCATTATCTCTCCTCCCTTCAGTTAATCCCACATGTGTTTATCGGCCAGGTTAGCACAGTAACCTACCTCAGGCTGCATTCTGGAAGGTCAGCAGTTTGAAACCACCATCCGCTCCTTGGGAAAAAGGGCTTTCTAATCCTATAAACACTTAGAATCTGAGAAACTCAAAGGGCAGTTCAACCCTGCCCCGTAGGGATGCTATGAGCCAGCATTGACTCGATGGCAGTGAGTTTGAGTTTTTTAGTGTGATGTAATATATCCATATATAACATGTTAATGTTTCCATTGTACATGTTTTAAAATTTGTTACAGCTATCATTTTTAATAACTTTATTATATAATTCACATACATACAACCCAATAGTTCAGTCATATTCAGAAGAAATATACAATCATCACAATCAATTCCAGAATATTTAGCTTCTTCTTATACTCATTGTTAGCTTCCCATTTTCCTCCATCATCCTCTGCCATGACCTTAGGTTAAAAAATTTTGGGGGGGACCCTAGGTAGTTAATAATCCAGTTACGGTCTCTCTGTATTTACCTATCCTGGATTTCACAGACAGAAAGCCATACAAAACAAGAAACAACAACCCAGCCACCATGACAAAACAACAGGAAAACGCCCAACAAAACGAAAGAAGAAAATGTGAAAACTGATACAACTTTAAAATGTAGATCAATAGATGAGGTGTTACATTTTAACCCAGCTGTATTTGCCATAACCGACTTTACAGTGCTCCCTGACCGATAGCAAGGCTATTCGCAGCCCTGTACTGTGGACAGAGGGCCATCACTGGAGGCGTTCGTAATCCACATGGGGAGCCTGAAAATGGGTTTTGAACTCACACTGTCAGCTATAGCAAACCTTGTGTTGGGGAGTTAAACTTAGATACCATTCCCACCATTGAATTTGAATATTATTATTTACAATCTGTGGATCACACAGGCTGATGTTCTTCCATATGGATTTAGTTGATGCCTCGCTTGTTTTGGCTGCTTGTTTTTAGATAAGCATTTAAGACTTCGGGTGCTATTCTTTCTGACAGCTGGGCACCATCTGACTTCTTCACCAAACTTTGCTATAGCACCCATCTCTTCAATGATCTCTTAATGTGGGCAATGATCGAGTGGAACTATGTCTTAACTAATTGTTTGTAGATTAGGGCTACGATTAAATGCAAGCTCCCAAACTGGGGATCTTATTAATAGTAATTTCTAAGGACTGTCAAAGATGCTTGGTTTTCTTTAGATCTTTTTGTTACCTATAAGTGTATTTCCTGAAATCCAAATTTATTTTATTATTTGCATTAGTATTACCATTGAATTCTATCTAGTGGTAATTCCAGATGTAAGATGATCTAACTTGATGTCATTGTTGTCGTGATGTGCTCGATGTAGATCAAGTTGTGTGATTATAATGCTGTTCAAGAGTTCTTATTTCTCCTCCTAACTCTACCCCTTGATCTTTCTTTTTGGATATTAAAGTTTTTTAATAGTTTTGTGCTTAGGAACCTTTATGTTTGCTGGTGTTTTGTTTTGGGGGTGGTATTCAGTAAGTAACACCACCACCCCTTTTTTTAATCATCTTATTGGAGATTCTTACAGCTCTTACCACCATACATCCAGTTTCCAACACAATTGTCCATATGTTGCCATCATTATTTTCAACACATTTTCTTTCTATTTGAGCTCTTGATATCAGCTCCTCATCCCCCGCCTCTTATGTCTTATACCAACTGCTTTTTCCCATCACCCACCTTTCTGCTGTCCATCTCCCTAGGGAGGGGTTATATGTAGATCATTGTGATTTGCAAGCTACATCATTCCCCACCTTCCCCTTCCCCTCCTGGTATCTCTATTCTCATCCTTGATCCTGAGGGGTTTGTCTGTCCTAGATTCCCTGTGTTGTGCGCTCTTATCTGTAGCAGTGTATGTGCTCTGGTCTAGTCAAGATTTGTAAGGTAGAATTGAGGTCATGATGGGGTGGGGGGTGGGAAGCATTAAAGAACTAGAGGAAAGTTGTATGTTTCATTAGTGCTTTACTGTGCCCTGACTGACACATCTCTTCCTTGTGTCCTTTCTGTAAGGGAATGTTCAGTTGTCTACAGTTGGGCTTTAGGTTTCCACTCTGCTACCCCCGACCCCCCTTCACATTGATAAGATTTTATGTTCTGGGTCATTGATGTCTGACACCTGATCCCTTCGACACCTCATGACCACACAGGCTGATGTGCTGCTTCATGTGGGCTTTGTTGCTTCTCAGCTAGATGGCCGCTTGTTTACCTTCAAGCATGTAAGACCCCAGATCTTTTGATAGTTGGGCACCATCTGCTTTCTTAACTGTATTTGCTTATATACCTATTTTGTCTTCAGTGATTATGTCTGGAAGGTGAGCATCACAGAATGCCAGATTATTAGGTCATGGTGCTCTTGCATTGAGTAGAGGCCCAATGTCCATCTACTACCTTAATACTAAACTTATCACATAGATCTATTTCCCTATCATTATATATAAACATATTTACTTAGTACATGCCTGTATCTAGACCTGTATACAGTATCCTTTTCCTCCTAGTTCTCTATTTCCTTTTACTTTCCTCTTGTCCCACGATCATGTTCAGCCTTCATTTGGGTTTCAATAATTCTTTTCGGTTACATTGCCCTAGATTAAGCCCCACCAGGCATCCTATGCCTTTTTCTCCATCAATTTTAGATTGCTTGTTGTTCCCTTGTCCCTGGGTTAGTTGCCACCTCCCCCCACCTTTTTTTTTTTTTCCAATTTCCCAAGGAAATCTAAAACCTTGGTATGGGAAGTAGATCACATTTGTTATAAAGTGTGAAGTATTGTAATATATAGTGTAATTTCAATGGCACTATTTTTTCTCTCTAGAGTAATGTATATTCCTTTGACATTTCACCTATGAACAAAGCCTTTTATTACATTAATATACTTCCTAATTGATTTACAGGCTTTTTATGGAAATTCTCAATGACTGTTCAGATGTGGATGAAATCAAATTTCAAGAAGATGGTTCCTGGTGTCCAATGAGACCGAAGAAAGAGGCTATGAAAGTGTCTAGCCAACCATGTACAAAAATAGAAAGTACGTATGGCACAGCAGTAGCCTAGAGGGGCTTGCTCAGCCGAGTTTTTGCCATTTGCTTGATTCCACAGCTCCATCTGGCACTGTGCTCCTTTGTCTGTTGGTCATCGGTTACAGATGTAGTTTTCTCGAAGTGAACTTTTTCCTTTCCTTTAGAAATATGTTCATAACGTCTCTACCACCTTACAATTGGCCTTTTTGTAATACATATTTAATAGCTGAAGCAAGTGAAATGATCACCCCAGGTTATCTTAACATGGTGATTGTTACAAAATTGAAAGTGACAAATGACACTGCACCATCTTTCAGAATTGTTTTTAGAGTATGTGTTGGGGGAACCCCAGGTGGAGCTGTGGTTTGATGGCTCTTGTCATTTCAGGGAGTATTGGGGTGCTTGCAGGTTACTTGCCAAGAAATTAAGTGTTTCCTTGTACTTCTCTCTGTGAAGGAACTCGACTATTGCAGTGATTTCCTGCAGGGCTTTGAGCTAGTTTAGTCACGGCCAGCACAGCAAAATGGAAACAGACTTAAATTTGTAAGATGGGAATGTTCAGGAATGATAACTGGAATGGGAAAATCCCTGGGTTGATGCCCAGGTAGAAACTTAATCTCCTCCTCAGAAAACAAGGGATCTCTGTCTGGGCTGCAAAAAACAAGGGCCCCCTGTAAAGGCTACAGATCTCTTGAACTGCAATTTTTCTGGCACGTGAAAAACGTTGGATGAATTTGGAATCACCAGTTTTGCTTCATGAACCATCACTGAGCCCTGAAGAGTGCGTTCAAAGCCCTGCTTGCCTAGGTTCTTCGTCTGCAGAGAGAGGAATCAGGGCATGTAGGATCATTGAATCCACAGATAAACTTAGATTATGTTTGCCTCACAGTCTATTGGCTTTCAGTTTTGGTCTGAGTATATTTGAAGTTCTAATAATGTAATACTAATACATATTCAGAGTGAGAAGGAAAAAAGGATATATACGAATATTAATTATTCCCCTACATTTGTTACTTAAGATGGAAACAACCACAGTTTCCTTTGTCTTTGGGGGAAGTTGGGTGACTTCGATGCTGCTGCTTTGTGTGTAGTAATGTGCTTCTCTGAAATGGTGGCTTGGCCTACAGTGGGGAGACTTTCGTCATTGAGAGCCTAGGTGACTCATAGAGAGTGGCCAAGAAAAGCTCTACATGTCTAATTTAGGTATGAAGCTTGGATTTCTTTTTTCTTTTCATTTTGCCTAGTGAAGTGAAATCTTTTTGAAGGTCTGGCTTTTGGTGAACTGTCTGATCATACTTGGACTTGAACCTTGTTTTCATTTTTCTCCTTTTTGTTCCCTCTCCAACCAGCCTCAAGCGTTCTCAGTAAGCCTTGTGCAGTGGCTGTAGCCAATGACACAAGCAGGAAGAAAGTGGATGTGATTGACCTAACCATAGAAAGCTCTTCTGATGAAGACGAGCCTCCTGCCAAAAGGAAGTGCATCTTTATGTCAGAAACACCAAGCAGCCCGACCAAAGGGTGTGTTCCTTTATAGTTCACTACTGGTGCTTACACGGCAATAGCCCTTCTTGGGATAGATTCTGGAAATGTCTTTTTGAGACTTGAGATAGCCATAGATGTTCATTTGCCTTTTGAAATATTTTCAAATAAGCATCATGTTTACAGAAAAGCAAATTCAACAAAGAAACTATTTCCATCGTTGGGGAATGAGAATTTGAGGTCTTTCTCATGTCTATGTGTTTCACACTTGAAACTTTTGCCATTTTGTGGAACTCCTTTGTAAGGAGTAAGTTTGGTATCTCACTGAGGAAGCATAGTGTGATGGATCGCAGAATCGAACAAGTGTGGAAGCCTCATTCTGGCACACCGCTTACTGCGTAACGAACCAGCTGCCTACGTTGGGTAATGAAAGGGGCTTAGCCTTTGTCTCACACCTGGTAGTTTGGCAGTAAAAATGGATCCTGCCTTCTTCAGACGAGAATATGGACAAATCAATGCATTCTAGAATGTGTTCCTCAGGATTCAGCTGGCAAAAGCCATTACTAAAGGGCCTGAGTATTTGAAAGTAGGTAGTTTGCCTGAGGTAAGATTTTAAAAACGTGCAAGAAGGAGCGGGGTTTCTCCAGATGCCCCATGAAGACACACTGTCAGATTGGGTGTGGTGGTCTGTAAACTGTAACAGGCCAGCTCGTTCCTTGAAGTAGATTTATACAGCACCTATGCAAGGACAAAACCCTTAAGAAACAGGCTCAAGAAAGAAGGAAGGAAAAGAAAAAAAGAAACAGGCTCATAGATGAAAATTCTGAATTCAGTACTTTTAAATCATTCATTTTACGTGTTAAAATGGCATACACTGTTACCATGTAAGGTTTATCACGGGTACTTAAATATTGGGGATCGTATTAATAAAACATCTGGTCATCTTAAAACCTCAGCATTCAGTGAATGACTTAATGTAAGGGTTCCACACTTATATTCACTTGCGCAGCAGCAGCATGAATCGAAGTAGCATGGTGTCCAGGATCGGTTGCATTTGGTGCGCCCTGGCTCTCATGTAGAACATCATAGTCATTGCTGATCTTAAAGAGAAGGGTAGTAAATGGTTGTAGCCTGAGGGAATTGGGGAGAAGAGCAGTGGTGAACATGAAAGCCATAGCCCAGGACGTGAATGGATTCAAGGGTTGTGGATGCTTAACCTGGGGAAAAGGAGTCAGTGACTGAGTTAAGTTTACTCTTTGTTAGGACAGTGGAGGGAAGATACATGTGAAACTTTAAAATTGCAGCTTTCTGACTACTAAGAGGTAGAGTGGATGTTTTCATACTAGAAACTCATGCTTTTGGTTATTTCACTGCTGTGGTCCCTTCTAACTAACTCTTAATGCTTTTGTGACTTTGTCCCTGTGTGTTAGTCCGGTTAGACTAGAGAAACAAATTCATGGAAATGCTCATGTGTATAAGGAAGAGGTTTATATCTAAGAGCAATTGAACATTGAGAAAACATCCCAGCCCCATCCAGATCAAGTCCATAAGTCGAATATTAGCCCATATGTCCAATAGCAGTCTGTAAAGTCCTCTTCAGACTCACAAAACACATGCAACGATGCCGAATGCAGGAAGATCCCAGGCCATTGGTTGGGAAGTCATGTGGATCCAGTGGCATTGTAAGCATCTCAACACTGGCAGGGGCTCCACTTGGCTCCTCCAGTTCCCAGGGCACTGAGTCTTATCAGCGTAGTGCCATGTGTCTTGTCAGTAAAGCGACAGAGAGAGATAGACCCACCCCTTCATTCTTAATCCTCTCAAGTCCCAAATTGACACCAGATTGTGTAACTACCACACCTTGTCATTCTTTTTTGAATCTCTTCTAGAATTGTTAGGGTTCCCTCTGCTGTGGAAGTGTCATATAGGAGTTCTGGGCCAGTGACTGTAAGCGAATATGAAAGAATAGAGCACGATTAACCAGGAGACCATTATCTATAGGCCACATGTATGATGTGAACAGCTACTTTTTACTTAGTAAAAATAATTCTTAAGCATTAGGAAGAAAGTAAAAACCATTTTACTGTCAATAATTTGATGACTCTTCTTCAGCCCCTTTCCTTTGAGCATTTATTATAATATTCAATACAGTCATAGAATACCTGTCTGTTTGGAACACAAAATAGTCTCTCAAGGAAGTATTTTTGCTATTATTTCTGAGTGATGCAAGCGAGGTGAAGCTGTCATGATTAGCAGAATAGTATCATTAATAAGAACACAGCTAAGACACCAGTTTTTATCTGTGTTAATAATGCTTTAATACTGGACTAGTAGTACACATACAGGATATTAAGTGAAGGAGCTCTAGGGAAACAGTGCTTAAACGCTTGGCTACTAACCAGAAGGTTGGTGCTTTGAACCCACCCAGCAGCTCTTTTGGGAGAAAAAAATCCAGACGATCTGTTCCCTGAAAGATGACCGCGTGGGAATACCATGCCCCTGGGGTTCCTGTGAATTGGGACTGACACGATGGCCCGTCACGACCACCGTCGTGTTACATAGCTGTGGAGCTTGTGCATTCATCTTAGACTTCGACAAAAGCCCTTTATGTTTTGGTTTTGCTTTCTTACAGTCAAGAGATTTTTAATACTGTTCTGCTCCACCCCCTGGCAAGTGAATGCTTGCTCTGTCTTTATTAAGAGGGTATTCTAAAGACAGGAAATTGGGAACCACATATAAATGTCACTTGATTACAAGCCACCAAGTATGAAATTGGCTTTCTTTTCTGTTTTTATGATCACACTGTCAGCATAGGCAGAAAGTCCTAGGTCTGTGGCTTAACACTGCAGTTACTGACCGGGCGCATTTTCAGACGTCTGAGTATGAGCCCGTGGTCTAAGTATGAGCCTGTGATCTAAGTATGAGCCAGCGGTGCCCCAGCCCCTGCTTTCTTGATGCAGAACGCAACATAGATTGCCGGACACCTGCTTCTGGTGGATTCCAGCACATTGATTTTTGTGTTATTGTACCGTGGGCGTAAGCTAAGCAAATCTTAAATGCGTGCACGTATATCAGGCATACATCTGTGTGTGTGATCGTGATCCTATGATGAAGCAGCACCAGATTCGTTGTTTTGCATGAGCTTTATAATAATTCTCTCATCTGAATGTGTTCCTTGTGAAGATATGATAGAGAAAAATCTACCAATATAGAACTTCACAATCCAGTCCAATTAACAACTAAGTTTAGCCCTATTACAGAGAGTTGAACTTGCTGTTAATCATTATAAAATTCAGATAGTAGGAATTAACCAACAAAATCATTTACTTTTTCAAATGTTTGCTGAGGTTATAGACCTTGATTTCATAACCTAAAATCCCAGGGGATTTTGGTATTTTCTGAACGCTGTGGCATTCAACGTGGTTTTTGTAGAAACAACCACTCCTTAACTAAAGACAGATTTTTATTTTGTAAGGACAGAACATAGGTGATAATTCCGCATTCCTATGGGGACATTGGAGCCCACGTGCACTGGTTAAGCTCTTGACTGCTAACCAGTAGGTCGGCAGTTATAACCCCTTAGCCATTCTGTGTGAGGAAGGCATGACAGTGTTCTGCCATAAAGATGAACAGATTTGGAAACCATTTGGGGCAGCCTGGTCCACTTGGTCCACAGCAGTGGATTTGCATTTGGTTTATTGTGGTGATGTGTTGGTACATTGATCCAATTCCTCTACAAGTGGTGGAAGAAATGCTCTGCTGTTGACTTTTTATCAGTACGTGCTCAAGTTAAGACTAGTCAGTGATGCCCAGATTCCCTGAAGTGTGAGGAAAACAAGAAAGGCTGGGTGGGGGATAGGAAGACAGGAAGGTTTCTCCTCTTGTACACTGGAAATGAAAAGTTGTCACTTTGTTTTGCAATGGCTTAGCTTAAAGAGTCATACATAAATGAAAGTAAACAACTTTTGAATTATATATATGTGTGTGTGTGTGTGTGTGTGTGTGTTTTGAGAGAGAGGAAGAGGGGTGCCGCTTTGTCACATCTTGAAGAGTTCAGTTACAGGGCTGTGGGTTCTAACATCAGTGCCCACCTCATGGCAACATGTTCTCTTGTGATGGCTTGCTTTCTACATCTTCGGTGGCTTCCACAAATTTAAAATGTAGGGCAGAATGGCAGCTAGATAAAGTCCATTATTGCTACTTTTTAATTAATAATCTGAGCGGTAACAGCATGTTTCAATCAAGGGCAAAGGATATCGAGCGGTCCTAAATTGTCATTCCTGTTTGGCATTGTGATCGTTAATTTTTTAAGCTTCCTATAGGTTTCACCTTCGTTACCTTTTGTAATGGCTCCTTCAAGTGATGGGAAACGGTGCCTCTGTCCCTAGGCTTGCAGCAGTTGACTGGCATGCTAACCTTAGTACCGTATTTTAGACTGTGCTTGTCTTTTGTTAGCAGCGTGGCAAACATCAGCAGTCGGGTTTGTTTAGTTTCTTAAAAACATCCAAGATGTTATTCTTGTAAGCAAGGTTATAGTCACCTATCCCAGGCAAAGAGAAAATGTGGCATAAATAAGATTGTAAAAGAAATTTTCTCTTTAAGCCTGAATGTACATACATACATACAAACTATGTATTTGTACTAACTCTGAAATGAATCTTGTTTACTCAGAACTTGACCTTCCTGGAAGTGTAGGTGATGGTTCCATACTGCTAGCCAGCGCCTTTGATAGTGTACATTAAGTCTTGAGTAGGCCTCCTGCTGTGATTGCTGCTGCACCAACATAGGTTGGTCGGCTGGTTGACTTTAGCATTGGCTTTACTAAAGATTGCTAATAATTACTAGAATCCAAGTTTGATTTGAGAAACTTCTCGTTTGGCAATGGTTAGATTTAAATCAAATTTTAGAGACATTCCCTACTTTGAGTTTTGAAATCCCCGAGTGGGGCAGATGGTGATGAATTCCACTGCTACACGCAGCTGTACCTCAGGACAGGCCCGGGACCTGCTTCCAAAGATCATAGCCTTGAGAGCCCGGGAGCAGGTCTGCCCTGCACACTTTGGGGTCACCGTGACTCAGACCCGTCTGATGGCAACTAAGGACAGCTTGCGTTTGAATTGCCCTGCAGATAAAATGACCAGTATCCGCGCAGGTTACATAGATGTTAAGAAAAGCATGGTAGGTGCTTTGGGGTCCATTATGCAACTCATAGTGACCTCACAAGCTGTCACCTCTATGGAGCAACCCGCCAGGTCTCTTCACCTGGGGAAGCCTCAAGGGTTCGTTCCCCAGCCGTTTGGTTTGCAGCTGGGCGCTGAACCACTGTGCCATCAGGCTTCTTCGTTAAATGTGTGAAATATATTTCTTTTCGTGGATGAAAATGTGTGTGGCTCCAGCACTGTACATTATGTTTTAATGCTGACTTGCTCTTATGTCACAGCTGCTGTTGAGAGCCAGGACACATTCATGTTCAAATGAAGACTTAAGAAAGAGAGAGTAGAGTGGAGTACTGTACTGTGTAGTGAGTAGCTACCATGTAGTTGTGTTGAAAGAATGCCCAGGTGCAGCCCTTCTCTCCTGCAAACTAACAGCCAGATTGTTTGTAATTCCCCACGCTGTTTAAAACAGGGTCCTCATGTATCAGCCGTCTTCTGTGCGGGTGCCCAGTGTGACTCCGGTTGACCCTGCCACTATTCCGCCTTCACTAACAGACTACTCAGTACCCTTCCACCACACGCCAATAGCAAGCTTGTCATCAGATTTGCCAGGTATGTGGAGAGTTTTGTGTTGCTGTTTAATCAATTTTATTATTTGCTTTTAATTGTAATCTGTGGAGCAAAATAGAGTTTAAATTTTTTACATAGAAGAGCAAAGGAAATATGAGAGGTCTCATACAATGGTAATTTGTTTCAATATGTCACATTCAAATATTACCACTTTTCACTGCAGAGGAGGAAAAACTTGACCTTTTCTTGGTTTATTTGCCATAGAAGCTTCGTGGGTGAGGAAGAGTATTTTTTCATCTATGGTACACTTCCTGGTTAGCCCATCAGAACATTCGGTAGTTGAGTGTGGGACATATTTGGCTACCAGCTTTGCCATGAGGAATTTTTCCCCACACTACTGGGATAAAATTAACCTACCAACTATTTTCCTAGAGTAGTACTTAAATATCACGGATCTCTTTTATATGCTTTTTTAACTCTAAAGTTGGAAAAAGTCAAGGTTACTTGGCTTAACTTCAGTACTAAGATGAGCAACTAGGGCCATATTTTTAAATGTAAACTCCTACCAGTCTCCTAGTCTGCTCTTCTCTCCACACCCATTGATTTTACAGTCAAACTTGAGCAAATTCCAACCAGGGCTTCTCAGACGTAGGATCTCCTTCCTCACCTTTCCAGCTGAGTCCGGTTCCCTCCTCCTGTTGTGAAGATGGTTTGGGCCTGTGGTCTATCCTTCAGCCCTTTAATGAGGTCTTTATTTTAAACAAAATCCTTAATCTGTTGGGCAAATTTTATGTCATTCTAACAGTTGACAATTGTGTTTTGAGCCTAGTGTAATTTTGTCAGATTACTTGAACTTCAGTAGAGAAAGATATACTAAAATGAGTATCCATTGAAATAAAATGATAGTGCCTTTTGCTGCTTTTTGTTTGCCCCATATATAGTTTGGGAATTATTTTCAAAGATTTCTTGTAACCCAGTTGGCCACAGTTTTGAAATATGTTGTCTTCAAAGCTTGTTGCTTAGGTGTAAGTGAGGCCTTGAGGAAGCTCAGAGATGAATTTCTAGCTCTGTTATGTGTTGTTTTAATAATTAGTTTCAGATGAAGTCTTAAGTGCCCAAGTCTAAGCGTGTGCTCTAAGGAAGCAATCCAAGGGAATTTGCTCACTAAAGACATTGAATTCAAAAGATAATGAGCACTTGTATTTACTAATTAGTGACCCTGCCATTTAGCAGTAGCCTAGCTACAATTTATAAATCTCTTAGCTGGTAAGTTATGGGTCTAGGTGAGTTTTTTATTTAGAAAAACTGTTTCAAGATTTGAACATTAAGACTTTTATTTTAAAATTATATATAACTATGTAGTTTTGAGAAACTGCAGTAAAATGGGTTTGAACTGTGTGTTTATTAAAATGCATTTCAGGTTGATAATTGAGATAATGAGCCCTGGTGGCTCAGTGGCTAAAGTGCTTGGCTGTTAGTGAAAAGTGATTGAGAGGACTCACCAGCCACTCTGTAGAAGAAAGATGTGGCAGTTGGCTTATGTAAAGATTACAGCCTTGGCAACCCCATGGGCAGTTCTACTCTGTCTGACAGGGTTGCTATGAGTCAGAATTATCTGTATGGCAATGGATTGTCTTTGTTTGGGGGTCACTGAGGCAGTGAGACTAATATCCACAGCTGATATTGAGCCAGTAGTATAAACCACTGTGGTGATACTAGTACTCTTAATGAGTTGGTTAGCTAAATAGAATGGAATCTACATGGTGTTCTGTAAAGCATTGCTTAACATTTAAGTAATGATTCATTTCTAATAAAAACCCAATGGTTCCAGCAAATTTGTCATAGTATATAATAACTCTTGGTTGATGGGGCTCTTGTCATATCATATAGCAGCATCTGGAAGTTCAAGGCTGGTTGATCTACACACAATCTTGTGCATTCATTCATAAGCTCTCTGCTTTAAAGAAAATGCTAGTTTATTTTCATCTATAAGTTAGATAGCAGGTACTGCATCTAAGTAGTTTAACCCTATAACACCGACCGTGACGTTTCCGTAACATTTAAATTAAATGTATATATTAATATATATATATATATATTGATAACTATGAAAGTAAAGAATAAAACAAAAATAATTTTTCTCTGAAATTAAAAACTCATGCGTTATAGGGTTAAGCCTTTACTGTGGTTTTTATTGTTAATGTACTCTTATAGTTAGTGATAACTTTGGGGTTGGTTTCTGGTATCATTTTTTGTAATTAGTCCTATGGTATACAGAATTGATAAACGTTTAAGGATTTATAGTAATATATTAAAATTGAACATGGAGGATGGAGAGATAGCAAAATTTTAATACGTTTCTTAACATTCCTTTTAAACATCATAAACATGAATCTTCTGAATCTGCAGGAGAACAAAGAAGAAATGATATTAATAATGAACTGCAGCTTGGAGCATCTTCTGATACTGTGCAAGAGTGAATACAAAATAAAACAAAGTATTTGTGTTTGTGGAATGGAAAGCAGCTTGATTATGTCAAGAGAGAACAAATATGACTGCCTTATTGCTAGTGCCATACTGTCAGGTGTGAATGGTGCTCAAAAGTTGTACATGAAAGTTGAAAGTGCTGAACATTTACATACTTAGTCTTGTAGTGATTATGTTCTGTTAGGGTTTATGGCTCAAGAAGAAGAAAATGTGTTGTCATCAATGAGGAGAAACCTCAGTATTTTCACATTATATGTTTAAAAATAGACGTTTTTTCAATGTTAATAAATACAGAGTGTACCACCACTGTTTAAACATTACCTGTTTAGGTGTCTGAGTGTTGAGTGCTGCTATAACAGACAGACCACACATGGGTGACTTGCACCAGCCAAACTTGTTCTCTCACATTTTCAGAGTCCCGAAGTCCAAAATCAGGGTGCCGGCTCAAAGGAGGTTCTTGGTCTTTTCAGCTTCGGGTCCCTTGCTGATCTCCATGTGGCTTGGTATCTCTCTCGCCCACCTCTTCTTGCTCACTTGCTTGTTTCACCCCTTTAATATATCAAAGGAGATTGGTTTAGAACTCGCCCTAAACGAACCCTGCTCATTGTCTTATGAGAGAGAACTCATTTCCAATGGGATTATTACCACTGATGGGGTTAGGATTTACAGCGCACCATTTTGGGGGAACATCAATCTGTAAACTCCATGGTTTGCCCCTTCCTCAAAATTAATATATTTATAGCACATGCTAACCACATTCGCCGTACTATATTACCCCCCAAATCTTAAATCTATAATTCCAAAATTCTATCTGAAATATAGGTGAGACTTAAGGTGTATTTATCCTGCAGTAAAACCTCTTCGTTTGTGAACCTGCGAAATCTAGATGGCAAATTAGCTGTTTCCAAAGTACCGTGATGGAACCAGGGACGAGAGAAGACATTTCCATTAAAAATGAGAGAAATTGGAGAGAATGGAGGGATAACGAGCACCAAGCAAGTCCAAGAACCCCACAGAACCATTTACTGTAGCCCCCAAAGCTTGGGCATAGTCTTGAGTTCCCTGAGACTGTCTTGCCAATGGCCTGGCAAGACCATTTGCTATGCTACGCTCGTTTGCTATGCTCTCCTGATTCGGGGTGGAGACCCCTCAGCCCTGCATTCCAGACCCACTGTGTCCACAGCTCTGCTCCGCTTCTTCAACTTTGGGTGCTAACCTCATTCCTCCAGCACACCTTAGGCTTGGACAATCGAACTGAGCAAGCAAAGAGCATTTCAAAATTGAGGAACCTCTCTCTCTGTGCTGCAGCTAGGAGTTCTCGTCCCCAGGGGTGGGCCCATCTTGCTCTCCTTTCTGTCCATTCTCTTTCTTGGAGTGTAAGAGACACAGCTCCTTTGGCCTATAAAACTCTGAGAGGTAGACAGCATGCTTTCCCCTCTCTGTCCCCTTCAGTCTAATGGTGAGTTTTGTACTGTGTGCTTAGTTAAATTGATCAAAGGTGTAATCTCTAACAAAACATTGTGTAGCCACACTCCATGACCATTCTAGGACAACCTTAGATTTTAAAAAACAAAACAAAACCCTACTGCCATCGAGTCTACTCCTACTCATTATATCCATGTAGGCCAGAATAGCACTTACCCTGTGGGCTTCCAAGACTACATCTTAACGGGGACAGAAAGCCTCGTTTTTCTCCCATGAAGCAACTGGTGGTTTCCAACTACGGACCTTGTGGGTCACAGCCAGCACATAACCCACTCACACTACCCAGACTCCTTCATAACTTGAAGTTCTGTTCTTATTTTGCCTAGTTTGTTTAGAAGTCCACCTCTTTCTTCTCATATTTAACTATAAATGGCAAGGAGAAGCCATTTGGCCCTTTAAGGTCTTGCTTAGAAACCTCATCAGCCACGAATCCAAGTTCCAGACAAGTTCTTTGCCACTACATAAAAAGCATTGCCCATCCTCCACTGTCCAATCACGTTTATCATTTTCTTGTGTGACTTCACCAGAAGCAAATTCAACTCCACATTCCTTGTGACCTTTTTCTATGTATTCTCTAAGACGATTGAGATTTTCTCCATAGTCTCACTTTATGAGCCCTCACCACAATAATGCCATTGACTTACAAAATTCTACCAACAGTCTCTCTCCAAGGCAATCAGCTTTTACTGTTGGGCACTTGAAACTCTTGGATCCTGTACCCACCCATTTCTCAAATCTAAAACTAGGTTCACGTCTTTAGGTATCTGTGAAAGCAGTACTCCATTTTTCTGGTACCAAATTCTGCCATAATTATGTATTGGTGCCATAACAGAAACATCACAAATGGGTCGCCGTAACAAATTTTATTTTCTCATAGCCTTGATGTCCAAATTCTAGGTGCTACCTTCGAGGAAAAGACTTTCTCAGTCCACTCTGGTGGAAGATTCTTGTCTCTTCAGCTCCTACTTCTGATTTCTTAGAAATCCCTGTGTCTTGGCATCTGTCTGAGCTTATCTCTGCTCACTTGTTTGCTTAGTTTTCTTATATCTAAAAAAGTCTTGTGACCCATCCTACACTAATCTCAGTCATTCACTGATTAACACAGCAACTACAACCCATCAACTTAGAGGTTAGAATGTATACTGTTTCCAGGGGTGGTGTGGAATTCAACTCCATAAAAGAAGGTAAAAATAAATAAGTTAAAACATCAAATACTTAGGAGAACATAAAATATTTTATTATGGTATATTACTGTGATTGAAGCTTATAGTGAAATAAGTTAAACATGTAACAAGCCAGTAAAATTTCAAGTTAACTATTGATTGAGCCACCTATTTCTTGTAAGAGTTATTAAGCTACTTAAAATATAAAATTGAAGACTTTGATACTTTGAAGTGTCTCATTAGCGATGTAATGCCTGAAATACCCTGTCAGTCTTCCAGTGTTGCTGCAGGGTTTCAGAGAGAGGGTTATGGTGAGGCCTTAGTGGGCTTTGTCTGAATAGGGCCCATCCAAAAGGAGATCATCTGAAGTTTCCTCCAAAATTCAGTCTTTTACTGTGGCATTCCGTGAGTCAACCATATTCAATCCCCAGGTGAGGAAGATGACAAAAGATAGTATCAAGCAAATCTTTCAGATCTTTCTCAATCGATTTTTTAAAAATCATTTTATTAGGGGCTCATACAACTTTTATCACAATCCATACACACATCAATTGTGTAAAGCGCACCTGCACATTCATTGCCCTCATCATTCTCAAATCTCAGTTGATTTTTATATCTTATTGCCACACATGAAATACATCACCAAAGAAAAACCAATTACCTGAAGAGCTGATGCTTGAAATGACGAAAATAGGGTGCCTTAATTGTAGTGGTAGTCCTGCAGATACAGCTGGAGAATTATATTTTAGCATTTTTTACATTGAAATTACAAACTGAGAATGTTTAAAATTTCAATCTTCAATGATTTAGCTTCAAATAGTCCATCAGAAATGTGCATTTTTTAACTTGATAGTAAAAAGTTTCTGTTATTAAAAGGAACTGAATCAAGTGTTTTAAAAAATCAGTAAGTTTTTAAGATGTGTTAAAAATAATTGATCTTAATTTAAAAAAATGATCTATAAAAGCATCTGAACTAAAACTAGAATAAACTATATAAAAATGAAAATGCTCATTAGAAGTGATACAAAAGATTGAGCCAATTAAGTGATAATTCAATAAACTATTTTTATAACATATATTTACAACTCTCCGGTGATATTACAAGGGCTAGGCAGATTGAAGCTAAAAGAATTTCACTTTTGTGAACAGCATTAATGTGAAGAGAAACCTCTGTACTGATTCACGTCACCTAATGATTATCAGCTCAGTGGGGAAGCTTGTTAGGAGTCCCTATGTTGGGTCTTCTAGCCCCTGCATCAAATGGTTAGTAACACTCGTGTGGAACAAAGATGTCAGCAATTTGAAATATACTCCAGAAGTGATTTAAGAAATGATTGGTGCTACCAATCATTTTATCACATCTTTTTAGATAACGTGTACTGTAATGTTTGTGAGTTCTGAAGTATATTGGTTATGAAATTATGAAAATATTACCTCCATCAGTAATCTCTGTTGAGCAAGTCTCATATCAGTCTTTCACTCTGGTTAGTAGTCATTTGGGGTTGACATCCAATGCCAGCATATACAAATTTACGAAACTGAGCAGAAGTGTGTATTACTACTTTAATGCTTCAGAATGGTATTAACATTCCTGTTTCTAAAGCATACTTGAAGAAGCCCGAGTCGGGTTTAGAAAGCTGCGAGAGCATAGAGCCCGTTAACCTTGAGATGGTTGGCAGTAAGCAGCAGCTGCTCAGCGCTCGCTGTGCAGAGCATCGGCCGGCCCTGCCTGCTGTGGAGCGAGGACACGGAGAGCAGTTGGTGAAATAGACGCCTGTCTATGGAGCGTGTTCTAGTTGAAACGCAGTATGGTGTATTTCTAAAAATAAATATCAAGTATCTTGAGAGCCTAAGGTTTTTTGGTTTGTTTTCATGGTCCAAATCGAGAGCATTATCTCATTATTCAGTTAAGTGATTGTGGGTAGGGGCATGGGTTGCAGTGATTGGCTTGTCCTTCTTTGGAACTTCGTTCCTGGGATGTTTTCTCCACTTGTTCTATCGGAATGTGCGCATCTGACACCACCACATTAAATATTATTGATCCTGCTGCAAAGTGCCCATAGGACTGAGTGGTAAGCAGATACCCCAAATGTTTTGTGACTTAAATATAAAATGATTTGGGGAAATAATTCTGGTCTTCAAAAATAAGAGATAACTATTAACAAAGCATTTTTGTTTTAGGTTTGGATTTTCTTTCTCTTATTCCAGTTGATCCCCAGGTATGTATCCTGAATTTAAGCAACTAATTTGTATTTTATTGTTGATTTTGTCACACTAACAATGACCAGTTGCATAAAATCAGGACAGTCAACTCTCACATTGATGAACAGGAAGTCCTGTGTGCCTATTTTACTAGTTTTCTCTAAAGAAAAAAAAAGATGCTGTTTTTCAGTTTATGGTAGCTTGGCTTTGAGACCAGAGTTTTAAGTTCTGTTTTATTTAGTTTGATAAGTCATTTGGCATTTCTCACAAGTATAGAATGAGGAGAAACCAGGCTAAGTGGTTTGACGTTAAAAGCTTCACAGTGATAATTTCTAAAACACCTTCTGTACTTAAAAGCATCAATCACTGATTAAACAGATTTGAATCATTAGTTTGATATTCAAACAATGGTAAAGGCAGTAACAGTGGAACTTTTGGGGTGCTTTGTACGTCACCCTTCTTTTCCTTGTCAAAGATTGTAAAAACTAGTATCCCAGTGGTCCAGCACAAAGACCAAGGAACGAGGGAAGAGGGGTGTCAAACAGAAAGAAAGAAGGAGAGACTGAGACGGGTTTCTAGGGAGGAGTGGAGGCAGAAGCAGGTGCCTGGGACGCACAGAACCAGGGCTCGTAGCAGCCTCCTGTGTCCATGCTTTGCCGTCAGTTGCACAAGCTGGGTGTGGAGTGTGTGCACCTTCTGTGCAGAAAGAAAAAATTCCTTCTTGCATATGAGTTTGTTGCACTAATAGATTCTATAATAAAAGCATCAGTAGCTTTTCTTAGGAAATGGGTGTTTTAGGCTTACACAAAAAGTTGTGTGCACAACTTTAAAAAAAAATCTCAGCACGTAGTGGATTTTTAATTTCATAGCTTAATTTGGCACATTTCATAGCAAGCCACTTGAAAAATCTGGAGGGGGTATGAGGCTAAGCCTTCGGATTGTCTTGGGCTCCTGAGATTTTGTTTAGCTTGGCCCCATTTTGCCCCACTAGTCCATGTTGTCTGCGGGTGTCACACACACGGAATAGTGGGTGAGGTGAGAGACGACGGCACCTGCAGCTCTAGTACTGTACGACCCACGAAGTGGGCCCTAGTGGTGGTGGGGCTGTAGCAGCGATGGCTCATTTTAAAAAGGAAGGGTTTCACTTGTTCACTACAGGCAGCCAAACATGGCCTGTAGAGGTATAAGGGATAAAATTTTAACCATCTGGGCTTTTGACTTAAATTCTCTTAGCAATTTAGTGGAAAGTAAGAGATTGATTTGCTTTTAAGATGGGACAATTCAACTGTGTTCTTCGTGCTTTAGAAAGGCTTGTGTAACAATTACTTTCCCTCGAGTCCCTTTGTGAATGCCGTTCATTTTATTATAAGCCAAGATATATGCCCACTGCAAACAGTGAATTACTCTGCTGAAAGGCAGCCTGTATTTAAATTGTTGCTTTCTACTGACTGGCAATTTAAACTTGGGGCTGTTCCCTTTATGGTCCTTGGAAGGTCATGTAGTCTAAACAACCACTGTTTTAAATCCTTTTCTGTAATCCGATACAGGCAGTCCCCAGGTTACAAACACCTGACTTAGTCCACTGTTATGAACCAGCCCGAGAAAAACCTACCCTGTGTTAGTCATTTGAGGTGTACATCCAGTGGTTCATTATAATAAATGATCACTACTTTTCAGCCTACGTGAAAGTATTCTGTTACTGCTGTGACTGTACCGTTATAAGGTGCCGCCCTGTGTCTTTATAAGTGTGAATGTTTTTATGCATAGGAGGGTACATCAGAATACTTTATTACAAAGACAAATTTTTGACTGACTGACATTAGCTAGCATACTGTACCCAACTGTTCCAACTTTCATACAAATTCAAAGACAAACTTAGGAACAGAATTTGTTCGTGATCCGGGGATTGCCTGTATATGTAACCATAGCTTGAATACAGTAAGTCCCTGGGTTAGGAACGTCCGGTTTTTAGACAACCTGAGAGAACACATACTTAAGAACAGACTGCCACAAGATCTCCTGTATTAAGACCTTGAGGTTAAAAATACTGGTTTGTTACAATGAACGGTGCGCACCCACTGCTTTCTGTTTGTGAAGCTTAGGGAAATGCGTGGCTTCAGCAGTTGGGTTCCTCGACTTGAGGGAGGAGAACACCATTGCCTTTTTAAGTTGGATCACATTGCCATTAACACTGTCAGGTGTGTACCTTTGTATCTGGCTTAAATGTCCCTCTTATTTACCCCTGTCACCGTGCCTCCAAAGCATAAGTCTGGTGCAAGCGCTGGAGATGCCTCAAGGAAAAGGGAAACCATCGCGACCGAAAAGGAAGTGGAGATCATAAAGCGCTCTGACAGAGGGCAGGTGCCGTCATCCATTGGAAAAGCCCTAGGCTACAGTCGGTCAACCATCGGGACGATTCTAACGGATAAAATGAGAATCATGAAGCACATGAAAGGCTGTGCTCCGATGAAAGCTACGATTACCACCAAGCGGCGCAGTGGTCTGATTATTGAGATGGAAAAGCTGCTCATAATTTGGCTAGATGATCAGAATCAGCGTAGCATGCCTATTAACCATACCTTAGTGCAAGAAAAGGCCCGGAGCCTTTTCAGGGACTTAAAAGCTGCCAGAGTAGCGAGTGAAGGTTATTGTGATGAAGAATTTGTTGCAAGCAGGGGTTGGTTCAATCGCTTCAAAGTGAGGGCAAATTTGCGTAACATTAAAGGGCAGGGAGAAGCAACAGGTGCAGATGTGAGTGCTGCCAGTGATTTTTCAGAAATGTTGAAAAAAATTATTGAGGGAGGTTGTCAGACCAAATATTTAATGTAGACGAGACCGGCTTATTTTGGAGAAAAAAATGCCTGAAAGCACATATATTTCAAAAGAGGAGGAAAATGCACCTGGGCATAAGGCTTCAAAGGATAGGCTAACGCTATTGCTGGGGCGAAATGCATCTGGGATTTCAAGCTCAAGCCTTTGTTTATCGCTCTCTAAATCCAAGGACACTTCATAGGATCATCAAGGCCTGTCTTCCTGTTATTTGGAAAGCAAATGCAAAGGCGCGGGTTACAATTGGCATTTTTGAGGATTGGTTCTTGAACCATTTTGTCCCTGACGTTGAATATTATTGCCTGGTTAAGAGAATTCCTTTCAAGATTCTTCTTGTGCTTGACAATGCACCCAGGCACCCAAGCATTTTAGATGACCTTCACCCCAATGTAAAAGTCATGTTTTTACCTGCGAACACTGCATTGCTGCTTCAGCCAATGAATCAGGAAGTCATCGCCTCCTTTAAGACATACTACTTACAGCGGACCTTCTCACAAGCAGTCAGGGCTACCCAAGACGATGTGATGAGCTTAAGGGAGTTCTGGAAGAATTTTGACATCTATGATGCCATCAAAAACATTGCCGATTCTTGGGATGAAGTGAAGCAGTCAAATATGAAAGAAGCATGGCACAGATTGTGCCCCCAGTTGGCACATGCTTTTCAAGGGCTCACTGCTAAAGTCATGGCCGAAGCCAGCAGGCTGTGGTTGATAGCGGTAATCAGCTGCAGTTAGACATCAGTGAAAGTGATGTCATAGAGTGGTCAACTCCCATGCTGAACGAACCAATAAAGACCTTACGGAGCCACAGCGGCAGATGAGCGCATTTGAGGAAAACAGGGACATCCAAACCCAGGCCTGAAAAAGTTGTTGAAGGAGTTGGCTGAAGCTTTCTGTCTCATCGAAGCGGGGATGGCCAAGTTAGAGGGACAAGACCCTGATGCTGAGAGGCTTGCCAACGCTTACCAGAAAGTTACCCAGGGCCTCAGCTGCTACCCGGCCATTTACAATGAGGAAAAGAAGAGCTCGGTACAAGCCCCTTTGGCGCCCGCTTCAAGAAATGGACTCCAGTAGTAAGCGCCCCATGCCCAGCAGCAGAGCCATCCCTGGCTCGTCCTCTGCAACACCAGCCTTGGCACTCTCGGCAGTGACCATCTCTCCATCAGCTCATCGTTTGGTTATTGATTATCTCGAGAATGGTTTTTTCCTTTCTAAACTTTTTAAGAATTGTTTTCTTTAGTGGTGTTTTTTACAGTACTGTATATTTAGACACATTCAAACACACAGGTGCTCCCCAGGACAGTACCATGTGGAGTCCTATTATCACTGTATTGTGTACTGTATCGTCCTGTTTTAAATGTTTTGGAAATACTTTCCATGCATACAAAGGTTCAATATGTGCTGTGTACCAAGATATACACTTGACTGACGGTAAGAGCTGTGTATACCTGTTCTGACTTTTCCTGCAAATCTGACTTAAAGACAGGCTTAGGAACTGATCTCATTTGTAACCCGGGGACTGCCTGTGATATATAGAACGGACAGGATTGAGCAGACAGCCTAACTGGCCTTCTTTTCATATGATAAAACTCACGATACACAGGAAATCTCATCCGTATCCAATAAGTAGACCTTTCCTCATTTTGTTAACGTCAGTGCTTTCATGTCTCACATAGAATGCAGTGTGGTGATAGGAACTCAAGCTCGTAACTCTTTACCTCCCTGTCCTTCTCTTGGTCAATGTTAGAATATTAAACCCAGTTTTCAGTTTGTTTGGGAATCAACTTGAGATGTGAACTCTTGGAGATTGGGTGTCAAGCAGGGTTCACAAGGAAAGTAGATCAGGCCTCTAAGCTTCATTCCCAGATTCTGTGATTTACATGCGATCATTCTTCTAAGCATATGGACCGTGTAGTCTCCATTTTGGAATGAATGTTGACACTTTAATATAATACAAGTATTGTTACTTGTGAATAGAGGAATCAGATGCCACCATTTGGCTGCTCAGTCAGCATTAGTCATACAGTGTGTCAGTGCTATTACATTTTGAAACACTTGTTGACTTTTACATTAGCCTTTTTGCTTTAATGCCATTGAAAATGAGTATTTGCTAACTTTTACAGTGTTGATTTAAAACCTAACTTAAGACATTTAATGAAGAAATTCTTACATTCCCTCTGAGTCATAATTGTTAGGCCAATATTAAACGACTTCTCAGTTATCACTGCCATATCTGTACTTTTACATATGTACTTGGTCAACAGTTGTACAGCTTTTCAGAGACTCAAGAATATGCCTCACTCTCTAAATAATGTAACATAGCTGAATTCATGCTACCTTATTCCCAAAGATGTGAAATTTAAAAAAACAATTTTTTTAAAATCCCAGTGGCATTTAACTGTGTGGAGATCAGTTGTGCATATCTAACAGTCTCTAGTCTCTTTGTTTAAAAGTCAATGTAGCCTCGTCCTCATCGGCATCATTGTTTGTTTCAAGCAGTACTGTCCTCCTATGTTTTTGGATAGTCTCACCTCACCCTTAACAGCAAGCAGCACGTCTGTCGCCACCACCAGCCCCCATGAAAGCAGTGCTCACGTTAGTTCATCCAGCAGCAGGAGTGAGACAGGGGTCATTACCAGCAGCGGACGTAACGTTCCTGACATCATCTCACTGGACTAAGGAGGACACATTCGATTCTAGGAATCATTCACCACAACTGCTCTCTGTTGGATCTTTGGTCCGTGGAACCTGTTTTGGGGGGCGGGGCAGTTACTTTGATATTTATTGAAACGTCAAACGGATTCTTTTGCTTTCTGAGAAACAAACAGATGACTGCAGCAAGGACCTGATGACATCTAAGGTGTTTTTCTTCAGATGGATTCTGAGTTCACGGGACTGGATGGATTCTACAAATAAGTTTTTTTTTAAAGAAACAAAAAGTTTTCAGTTGTTGTAATAAATGGCAATAACACTATGTAAATATTAAGTAAACACTTTTCTAATTAAGAAATACAAGATGTAATGGATGATTCTGGAATTGCAGCAATGTTTAACTTGGCGTGAAAGAGAGGAAGAAACATCCATGGCCGAGAGTCCTTTGCTGAATGGGTCTTTCCCGGGGGGCTCCCTTGAAGTAGGTGACGCCCGGGTAAACGCGGCCCAACCCTGGGCTCCTGCTTCTCCTGCAGCTGTGTCTGCTCCCATAGAGAAAAGGGCCGCGGTGCGCCTGGGTGCAGTCGCCACGCCAGAGGTGAAATGGGAGGGAGGTGCTCGTGGGCGGAATGTGTGGTTGGGTGTACATCCGGCTTCATGTGCATTGTTTCTGGTAACTACATTCTCAGTCGGGAATGGTCTAATTTGGGAGCTGGCTCTCTGAAAAAAAAAAATTTAAGCAGTCTGCTTGAGAAGTTTTGGGGTGTGGTGTGGAGGTGGGGGTGACAAAGTGACTTCTTCCTAAACAATCTGCCACTCTAACCAGGTTATACATAAGTATTGGTCTCGTGACCCTGACACAGAAATGTTCTAGATCACTGATTATATTCCTCAACAATATCTCGAGCTTAATGAAACAGTAGCTTTCTAACTTGCAAAACACAAGGAATTGGGGTTGTAGCAGAATTTAATATTTTGAGAAGGAAATCTTTCTTGAAACCATGAAAGAAAACAAAGTATTAGAAATGTTTGAAAGGAAGGGAGGATGGACCAGGACTCCCCTGGCTTCCTGGCTCCAGCCGGCCCTTGAAGACTCCCAGCCTTCCCTGCAGTCTGGTGGGTGCACCTCTGAAAGCCACTGTCCTATGGCTCTTGTACTTTTCAGTCACAAGGAAGGGTTTTACTGGTTAGAGAAGCACCGTGTTCATCCAGTTTCTGTTTTCCTTTGCTTTCACTTGCTTTCGCCCTCAGAGGGTTAATAGTAACCCAAGGTTGAGATTCTCTCCCTGAGCTGTATCTGTTTCCTTCAGAAATAACACCACCACCTCTTTTGATTTTCTCCCCCTTTACCTGGTTACTCAAACGGGAGGAGCCCCTTCAGTCTGTTAGACGAGAGCACCAGTTCTCCGTGGCCCTGTGATGATGCCACAGAGCTGGCTCTTCCCTGCATACTGCATGGGCGCCTTCTCCAGTCTCCCCGCTTTCTCCTAGGCTGCTTTGTTACTGGTTTGATGTCACTGGGTTTTCTACATCCTCCCGTGATTTTTACTACCCCTTCCAGAAGGCTGCTTATTGCAAAAGAAGTGGAAAATAACCGGGATCTCCCAGCAGTGAGTTACCACCACAGTTGCCAATTAGACCTTTGTAATAGTTAGATTTCTAGCCCAGGATTTAGTCCTTGGGTCCAGATACAGAATTTCTTCCTCGTTAAATTCCATGTTGCTGCTCTAAATACAGATGCAATTTCTGTTCGCTTTGTTACGTTTAAACTGATGTGTGTGGTATCATTTGTTAATAAAGACGTGATGTATCTTTGTTACCATTTTGTTCCCCTTCAGATTCTCCTACACGCCCACCACCACCACCCCTAGCCTCCTGTGCCCAGTTTTGCAACAGCTTTACAAGGGAGGGGGGGTCCTCCCAGAGGTTGATTGTGACTCTTCTCACTGTTGCCCCTTTGCCTTTGTGCTTGAGGTCTCTGGCCTTGCACAGGTTCAGTGCTCCCTCCCAGTGCCTCACTTGGAGTTGACCATTGGAATTTAATGCTTACAGGACACTTAACACACACACACACACACACACACACACATCCAAGTTTCTAATCTTAAAATTGGGGCTTACATTGTTTACATACATCTTTGAAGGTAAGTACTTTGTGCAGTCCATCTTTCAAGGACAGCTGTCTGCTGTGTACATGGATGTCAGCCACCCAGCGGCCATCTGGGTATCAGGTTCAAGGAGAGAACCTGCTCTTTGTTTATTCATCTCACAAGTCACTTGCCTGGCCTCTGTTTGTAGCTTCCTTTGGAAACATTAAGGGTTTTTCTCACCTCACCTAGGCACTCCTGGCTGTCACTGTCACAGGTACTGGGCAGAGCTGCTCACCCCCAGTCTGCTTGCACTCGTTCTGGCCCTGAATTTAGGTCCACTTCTGACCCTAGGGTAATGTGAAGGCCAGGCGACACGGCTGAGGTAGATTTGGCTTGCTTGGCCCTGATCATAGAGTATTTTTGTAAAGGGAGAATGAGCATCTGGTGAAGGTGGGTGGACCCTCTGCAGCCTGTCATTCCTTCAGGTGGGATTGCACGGAGTTGGAAGACAGGTAAGATGCTACACACTTGCACATGGACAATTCAGACCAACCTCCTTTCCACTAATCTTGGACTCTGGCCATGTAGCAGCCAAGTTTTGTTCTTCTGCCAATAATGGGATCATTTGTTACAAAGCTTTGACTATTAGATTTGCCAGTCATTTCCCAAAATAGTGAATTTAATTTCTAAAAATTTTAAACGGTTTTAGCTTTTAGTAAATACTTATGTAATTTTCCCTACAACTTTGAACCCGTTTCACTGGGATGTTGTACTGCACTACTGAGCTCTGGTTGGGAAAATGAAGCAGTGTACCATTCTGACATTGGATTGGGGGCCCTGCTTCTGCCCTGTGGGTGCATGGACTTGTCACTTAGGTACTTGATGGGTGATATGAACCGGATACACCACTTCTGCTACAGGTCTACGTGAACTTGGTAAAGTGGGTCAGAAATAAAACCTTTGGCTTAAGATAACCTTGGCCTTTGCCCCGAACCACAGTCCTAAAGAAAAGTAAAGCTATGTAAATACCAGTTAAGTATATCTTCCTGAAGAAAGTAATGCTATGTGTGTCAGTAACATGCTTATTGTGGCATTTAGACAATACTGGAAAATGGGTCAAAAGATAAAAGGTTTCTAATAGCACCTTACCAGAGGGTCTCTATTGACATTTTCCAAGAATATGCAACATTTATTTGTGTGTGCCTCTGCCCTGGTCTGTTAGCAGGAAGTAGCTGATGGAGATTGTTCACGACTGGGTCTGTCTCAGTGTGAAATACATTGATTCAAAAACATCAAGGTAGGGATATTCAGATGTCCCCAGAGTTTCAGTAGAGTACTGTTCAGAAGCCAAATATTCTTTTCACATGTTTTCTATTGACTGTTACGAAGTCTTGGCCCTTAGATTTTTCTGTTTTACCTTGTGTGCCTCGTGCTTGCCCTTAGCGCTTTGCTCTGCCTGTAGGCACCGTGTTGGCCATTATGAGCTCCCTAAAGCCAGTAGGATCTCCCAAACCAAACTGGGAAACGGGGAGGCTGAGAAGACTCCCATCTTCCTTGGTTTTGACTTCCGGAAGCTTAGCTTTTGTACCGAGTGCTCTCTCATAGAATAGCTCTTATTCGAATGATCTTTAAACTATTTAAGACGTTACCCATAGACGTAAGTGTATGTGGATTGAGTCCACAAACAGTGACCTTGTAGCACAGGGTAGTTTCTACCTGAGTAGAAAGCCCTGGCTTTGGTATGGGCTAGAATTGTATAAAAGGCCTGATCTTACACTTCAGAGGGCTTATAATCAAAGAAATCTAGCTTAACGTTTTGCTAAGAACATTACAAGAAGGTCTCACAACAGCCCTTCACAAGCACGTGGCATCCCTATTTTATCAATGAAGCATTCAAATAAAAATGCTCCTAAATTCACAATGAACACATTGTCTTGGGAGGCTGGCTCAGACCTGCCTCAAAAACCCACCGGCTAAAATACAATGAGGTCAAAGTGAGACTGGTTTAAAACCTAGTAAATGGATACGATGACGAGAATTGGGTTCAGGTGATGGCCACGGTAGTAAGTATGCCGGAGCCGTTTTGGGGAGGGACTCCGGCTTTGGTGACTGACTAGATGCAGGGGTAAAAGTCCATTTCCCAAGCCTGGGTTAACGTGGAGGGTGGCGATGCTGTTAATAGGGAATCTTAGCGTGAAGACTCACTGTTAGGGGCAGACAACGCGGTTGGTGTGTAGCTTAGGTGGCTTCTGGTATCCAGGAGACTCGGATTTGAGGCTGGTCTTCAGAGGAGGCGCTGGCTGCTGGCCTGGGCGGCGCAGAGCAGACCCCCATCGATGCAGCGTGAAGTCGGCGCACAGCTTCTGAAAGGCCCTCGGAGCACATGCCGCGCCCTGCCTTCATCTGTGCACGTCCCTTGGCGACCGTGTTTGGTGTCTTCTGTTCACTTGAACTCTTAGATGTTTCTCTTAGTCACTCCCAGTCACCCACCCACCACTTTTTTTAACCTGCTCAGCTACATGTCGGCCTTGGCTTTAGATGTCCCTCTTTCTGCCAAGGGCATGCCGTTCCCCCACAGCTGTCCAGCACGAGCTCTGTTGATATTCCACATCCCTCATGGGGAGGTCTGCCCTTCTCCTCAGCTGTGACCACTAAATCATTTCTCTCCAGGCCTGTGATAAAAATCTCTCCACCTCTGACGGCCTTGCAGAAGATTGAGTTCTCAGCTACTTCCTGCACAGGTAGCTGCCTGGTCAGCCCTGGGATTTGCTGAAGACTGGAGTCGCTCGCCTTCTGTGGAGGAGATCCGTGCCAGCCACACGAGCTTGGGAGACGGTTCCTTCCCTTCCAACAGTTTCTTCCCCTGAACTCCACCTACTCTAAGAGGCAGAATAGCCCAAGAGTTAACACCACTGGCCTTGGAAACTAATGGAAAGGAGTCTAAGCAAGAAAGGGAGGCTGGAAACAAGGATTGATTCTATTCGTGGTCCCTACTGTTCCACCATTTAACCATACCCCTTCTGGGTGCCCTTTATTGCCCAGCCTGGAGGGCGGCTTCCCTGCCCCTGCCCTGCACTATTCCCATCGTCCAGCGCTCCTCTGACATGGTACTGCAGTTTCCTTGCTCCTTGGATAAGATGCTTGTCTCCTCACAGCTGAAGACCATTCTCCATACCTTTCCCTTCTTCTCTTGGTTCACACAGGTTAGTCTTCAAATGCTGGTTCCCGTCACCGGGTGTCAGGCTTTGGAGCAGGTACTCTAAAGATAGCAGAATATAAAAAGCACCCAACTAACTCGATGAAATTAAATGAGTGGAAGCTGAGGGGCGTAATGAAAGTCGGGGCTAGCTGGGAAGAATAATATTACAAAAGCCAGATCATAATGAGCCTGGAGAAGCAGTAAAAAAGCATTACATTTTCATGATTAGTATTTTTTGTTGTGTTGTCCGGTCTGATTATCCATCCCCATTTTATAAATGTAAATATTCTAAGAGTGAGTGACTTGTTTAGGGTCATGTTTGACATATGGGGAGTGAGGCTTCAAAACCAGCTTCTAACCACTTTCTCTGGTTTTCCCCCATCATTCCATTTCAGGAGTGGTGTCCCCTTATCTCCACCACAGCACCCTGTGGGTAGCATATGTGGCATTAATCGCAGACTGATTGTTTGTCTGTCTCTCCCCTACTAGTTTGCAGGCTCCATGGGGGCAGGGATAATGTCTCCCTTTCATCTCAGCGTAACGTGGTATGTGGTCTTGAGTCGGTGCCAAATAAATGCAATGGCGAGTCTTGGTTTTATTTGACTTGCGTGGGTGCGCAAAATCGTGGGTACCAGGAGAAGGGAACAGGAACATGGAGCATGCTGGGTATTTTGCAAGAAGTTGGCACACTTGGGCTAGCACCCAGCCACCGGAGCAAAGGCCAGAGAGGTGGGGATGGGAATGTTCAATAGCTGGTGATGGGGTCAGACTGCAAGTGTGCATGGCCCGATAGACCCAGCCTAATGTCAACACAGACAAGTCTGGGGAAATCTGACATGTAAGCCACCTTGGGTTAACGTGTTAAGGGCCACCACCTCTAGGCAGCCAGGTACAGCATGCCAGTACCATTGTAGGTGTGAACAACATCACCTTTGGCCTCTCCACGGGAACAGTCTTAAATTATGGTATTCAGTGCTTCAGAACTCGCCTGAGAGTCTATTAGCCCAATGTCTCCGGAGGGCACGCCTACTTATGATAGGAATGATTCTCTCCTAGAGCACAAGGCCATGCTGAAACTTTGCAAGAGCTTAGTTTGGAACACTATCCACCCCCACTTTGCAGCTGTGGAAACATTCTTAGAGAGTGGCGGAGCCCATCCTTGGAAGCCTGAGTGAGAAGACTCCTGGAGAGCGGACACAACCAAGAGACAGTTACACTGAGATAGAAGACCCCTTCAAGACGGGAAGGGTGAGTGGCGTAAAAAGCTGCCGAGGCAGGCCTGTCTGGATAGGACAGGCTGGATGAACAATCTGGAGGAGAAAACAACGGGACTGACAGTTCCGGGGGGACATGGGAGAGGGGGA